ATATACAGTCAGGCCCATAAATAATTGGACATGGACACAAGTCTAACATTTTTGGCTCTACACACCAACACAACGGATTTGAAATGAAGCAAATGTGCTTTAACTGCAGACTGAAAGCTTTAATTTGAGGGTATTTACATGCAAACCAGATGAACGGTGTAGGAAATAAGTGTGCTTCCCACTTGTTAAGGGACCAAAAGTAATGGGACAATTGACTTCCCAGCTGTGCCATGGCCAGGTGTGTGTTATTCCCTCATTATCTTAATTACTTTGAGCAGATGACAGGTCCAGAGTTCATTTCAAGTGTGCTGTTTGCATTTGCATCTCTCAAGATGAGATCCAAAGAGCTGCCACTCTCAGTCAAGTATGAAACAAACCCATCAGATAGATAGCAAATACATTAGGCGTGGACAAAATGAATGTCTGGAAAATTCACACCAGTGAGCTCAGAAACACCAAACAATTGACTGCAAAGGATTTTCAACCTAATGTTATAAAGTAGGTGACGCAGTTGCGCAGTAGGTAGTGCTGTTGCTTCACAGCAAGAAGGTCGCTGGTTTGAGCCTCGGCTGGGTCAGTTGGCATTTCTGTGTGGAGTTTGCATGTTCTCCCTCCGTTCGCGTGGGTTTCCTCCGGTTTCCCCCACAGTCCAAACACATGAGGTACAGGTGAATTGGGTAGGCTAAATTGTCCATAGTGAATGAGTGTGTGTGGATGTTTTCCAGAGATGGGTTGCAGCTGGAAGTGCATCCGCTGCGTAAAAGCGTGCTGGATAAGTTGGCGGTTCATTCTGCTGTGGCGACCCCGGATTTATAAAGGGACTAAGCCGAAAAGAAAATGAATGAATGAATGAGAGTGAAAGTTTGATTTATGATGATTATTCTGTCCCTTTACTTTTGGTCCCTTAACAAGTAGGAGGCACATATGCAAACATATGCAAATTCCTTCACCGTTCACCTGTAAACACCCTCAAATTAAAGCTGACAGTCTGTAGTTAAAGCACATCTTCAAATCTATTGTGTAGGTGTACAGAGCCAGAGTTGTGTCGATGTCCTGATATTTATGGACCTGACTGTTTATAACACAATACACAACCCCAAATCCGAAAAGCTTGGGACAGTATGGAAAACACAAATCAATAAAGAAAGTAGTGATTCTAGGTTTACTCTGACTTGTATTTCATTTCCATATTAACACTTGATGGCGAGTAAATAGTGAGTTTATGTTCATTTTTGGGGGGGAACTGTACCTGACTGGTTTCTGTTCTCTCTTCAGTGTCTGTGGTGGCAGAAACTATTCCCTGAGGTCTGTGACAGGATCAGGAAAACAGGAAATGACAACACAATCCTCCTCTCAGCTCTCAAAGGTAACAGATGTGTGTTAAACTTGAACAAACAGAAGAAACTCAGGCTACATCTACACTTATCTAGATGGCTTTTTCATTTGTAGTCACACCAAACATGTCTTGCGCCGTATTGCACCAGATATTAAAACAAGCAAAATAATCTGCCAATGAGGAAAGCAAATTAATCTTGTTTTTTCTTTTGACGTAAGATTATTTTGCCTACCCCATTGGCAGATTATTTTGCTTGTTTTAAGGAAAAAGTCACTTAATATTGGCATATTATTTCTCAAAACAAGACAATATGTTTTGCTTGTCTAGAAAATGCTTCTTGATTTAGGAATTTTTAGATATTTGGACTAGAAACAAGACAAAATATCTAAGTAAGAAAAGCATTTTTTTGCAGTGTATATGAAGGGCCCCTGGAATCTGTTTATTATGAAGTAGTGGTGTTTTCCCACAGTTAATTCAGCTTTTTTTGGTTGTAATTTTGCTTCATGACAGAGACTCTGATCGTAGCGGCGAGGGAACTGACCCCATTAGAGTTTCTGGATTTGCTGCCGGACGATGGAACAGCTCATTTTTTCTTGCCACATCTACTTGAATGCTGCCAGTGAAATCACATTATTGCAGACAATCAACACTAAAACTGCTTTAAAGAGGGTCTTCAGTCCTCCTGCTGCCTTAAATGCTGGAGCCCCCCAAAAAAAAGGTTTGTTCATCTCAGAAGTCACGTGTGAATGCAAAATGACTGGAACTGTGTTCGTCTTTTAATGAAGTTGTTTACTATAAATAAATCTGAATAAATATAGGCTACTATATATATGGACTTTGTTTACAGTTGTTGAGGGCAAAATTATTCACCCTCCTGTGCATTTATTATTGTTTTCAAATATTTCCCAAATGATGTTGAACAGATTCAGGGATTTTTCACAGTGTTTCCTATAATATTTTTTCTTCTGGAGAAAGTCTCATTTGTTTTATTTCGGCTAGAGTAAAAGCAGTTTTTAATTGTTTTAAACCCATTTTAAGGTCAATATTATTAGCCCCCTAATTCTGTGGGTCTGTGACGTCACCGACTTTCACTTTCAGATTTAAAGGGCTAGCGTTGCACCAGATCCCCGTAAGTGGTTTCGTTTGAAAGTGTAGAATCTATATTTTATGCACACATCTGCATCACTTTGGTTTTTATTCTACTGTACAAAAGTTATTAAATACACAGTATTTTGGATCCCAGAGCTGGGTATTGAACATTGTTTCATTTTCATATTTCTCATATGACACATGTACAGGTTATAGCTGAAATGAAAGCTCTTGCCGGTGCTCATACGGTTCTAGCGTTCTTTTTACTGAATTATATTCACATATCAAACAGTTGCTGAATGAATCTCGGTGTTTCCATGGTGCAGAAGTGAAAACAATACATTCATGATCAATAAGCAGCCCCAGATAGCACAGACAGCTCATCTCTTACCTTATGCTGTGCGCTTCAGGGCCATTCTCCTCAGTTTTTGAGCTGATGTGCATAAGTGATCCTTTTATATGTCTGACGTGCTCCAAACACACTGAATTATGTTTGATCAAGCAAAAGAATAGTGAAATATGAACACAATGATCGCTCCCTGTGGCTTGTACAGCACCTCTCATCAGCTGGAACACAATAACTTCTGCATAGATTATGGTGGAGACATTTCTCTTTTGTCCTATGATTACAGACATGTGCAGGAACCAGCAACATTAATTACAGCACGCTAGAACACACACAACCTGAAAGAGATACTTTCAAACTTGAGTATATAAAATAAAATACAAAAAGCGCCTCTTTTTTAGGTGTTTATTATAACACAGACGACATATACAGATATTTTAAACACTTTCAGTAGTGTTTTATGAAAACTCAAGAGGTTTTCTTTAAAATGAGGCCAAATGTTTGCATTTACACCTCTGCATGTGGATTTGGGAAGCTTTTAAATTTGGGTAGGCAAAATCCAGGCGGAAATCCCATAATAGCACTTTTAAGCAATATTAGTGTTGGATTGTCTCCAGAACAAAACCACTGTTATACAATGACTTGCCTAATTACCCTAACTTTACCCTAATTACCCTAGTGAAGCCTTTACATGTCACTTTAAGCTGTATAGAAGTGTCTTGAAGAATATCTAGTCTAATATTATTTACTGTCATTACTCCAATTGGGGTAAAAATATACAAGAGTGAAAATGTAACAGGAGGGCGAATAACTCTGACTTCAGCCGTATGTGTGAAGATATCTCATAATGCATCTCAGCTCATGTGAATGTTCATGTTATAAATGTGCTTTTTTATTAAGTTATATTCAGGTTCAGCCTCTTGTGTGCAGACGGTCTCTCAAACCTTCTCTATAGTGTACATTTAATGTAATTCTAAGGCTTGAGGAGTAACTAATATTCTTTTTTATGCTTTCACTTGTAAAGCTGAATATATTCAATCAATAAATCAATCAGCCGTGTGTTTTGTCTTTTATTCTGGTCTAGTTGTGCACAGAAAAGCTATTTTTACTATTTATTTAAAGCTAAAGTAAAACACACTGGCTGCTCTGAGTATTTCAGAAACTGCTGATCAACTGGGATTTTCACGCACAACCATCTCTAGGGTTTACAGAGAATGCTCAGACATAGAGGAAATATCCAGTGAGCGGCAGTTCTGTGGGGGCAAATGCCTTGTTGATGAGGCCAGAGGTCAGAGGAGAATGGCCAGACTGGTTCCAGCTGATAGAAAGGCAACAGTAACTCAAATAAGCACTCGTTACAACCGAGCTCTGCAGAAGAGCATCTCTGAACACACAACACGTCCAACCTTGAGGCGGATGGGCTACAGCAGCAGAAGAGCACACCGGGTGCCGCTCCTGTCAGCTAAGAACAGGAAACTGAGGCTACAATTCACACAGACTCACCAAAACTGGACAATAGAAGATTGGAGAAACGTTGCTGCTCTGATGAGTCTCCATTTCTGCTCACACATTCGGATGCTCGGCTCACAATTTGGCCTCAACAACATGAAAGCATGGATCATCCTGCCTTGTATCAGCGGTTCAGGCTGGTGGTGGTGGTGTAATGGTGTGGGGGAGATTTTCTTTGGGTCCATTATTACCAATTGAGCATCAACGCCACAGCCTACCTGAGTATTGCTGCTGACCATGTCCATCCCTTTATGAGCACAGTGTCTCCATCTTCTGATGGCTACTTCCAGCAGGAGAACACATGTGAATCATCTCAGACTGATGAACATGACAATGCGTTCACTGTGCTCAAATGGCCTCCACAGTCACCAGGTAAGTTATGAATTTGGCAATTAAAGAGTTAAAATCCTGTGCTTTTCTAAACGATTTAGTAGTTTTGATCAGAATTGAGGTTGATAAACAGATTAATAGAAAACAATATTGATCTGATGCATTTATACAGCAGTTTAATTCAGTGGATGCTTTCAACTCAAACATAACAAATAGACAGTAAATGTGAACAGTGCACATGGGTTCAAACTTATTAAAAGGCTTTCAATTTCTCTAAACTGATGCATAAACATAATATTTTTAAGACCAAGGCTGCACATCTCACTGGGTGACTTTATAAGGACAATTCCTCATTATGTTGATCAACAGTACACACAGACAGGAATCTCGTTGTGCTCTTTTGCAGTGTTTATTTAAGAAATTCATGGACAGGCACTGTCAGATTTTTACCCACTCCCGAATATGCCCAGGAAGCCCCTCTTTCGCCCTAAACAGAGACAGAGAAAGAAGAAAACTCAATAGTTCAGTTTGTGTAGCTGGTAATATACTCAGTTTAATAGATGAAGTGTGATCTTTACATAACAGGGCATTAAAACTTTCAGTCGCTCTATTTAGAGACAATTCTAACCAAATACCAGATGACTGACACTTTCAGCTCAATAAACTCTTAATTTGCTGCTGATTAATGTTTATTAATCTGAGAAACTTGATCTGGCACGTTATTAATCATTAAGCTGGCGCACCGCACTGCCTTTATTTGCTGATATTGTTATTATTGTGGCGATGCAGTGGCGCAGTAGGTAGTGCTGTCGCCTCATAGCAAGAAGGTCGCTGGTTCGAGTCTCGCCTAGGTCAGGTGGAGTTTGCATGTGCTCTTTAGTTCGCAATCGCCTCTTCCCCCCACACTCTACCCGCCTGGCTCTTCAGTTCATAATCGCACCCCGCCCCCCTTCCACTCGATATTCAGTTCACGATCTCCTTTCACCCCCTACCCCCCTGTCCCGCTCTGGAGTTGGCGATAACTTCTTCACCCTCCCCCCACACTCTACCTGCCCGGCTCTTCAGTTCGTAATCATATTCCCCCCACTCGATCTTCAGTTCAAGATCGCCTCTAAACCAAACCCCCCCCCATCACCCGCTCTTTAGTTCGCGATTGTCTCTTCTCCCCCCCACTCTACTCATCCGGCTCTTCAGTTCACAATCGTCTTTGCCCCCTAACCCCAACCCCCCACTCTGTCTTAAATTCGCAATGGCCTCTAACCACTCAACCCCCCATCACCCTTCCCCCGCTCTTTAGTTCGCAATCGGCTCCTCCCCCCACTCTAGTCACCCGGATCTTCTTGAAATCATACTCACCCCCAACCCCCCTCCCCCCACTGCTCTTCAGATCTCGATTGCCTCTTCCTCCCCACACTACCCGCCCAGCTTTTCAGTTCGCAATCGTATTCACCCCACCCCCCACTCGATCTTCAGTTCGTGATCGCCCCTCATCCCCAACCCCCCCCTCTCCCGCTCTTTAGTTCACGATCACCTCTTCCCCCACAGTCTACCCGCCTGGCTCTTCAGTTTGTAATCGTATTCGCTCCCCCACCCCCCACTCGATCTTCAGTTCACGATTGCCTCTCATCCCCAACCCTCGCTCTACCGCGCTTTAGTTCACAATTGGCTCTTCCCCCCCCACTCTCCCCGCCCGGCTCTTCAGTTTGTAATCGTTTTCGCTCCCCCACCCCATCTTCAGTTCACGATCGCCTCTCACCCCCAACCCCTCCTCTCCCACTCTTTAGTTCGCAACCCCCGAACCCCCCCCCCCCCCCCCCAACCCTCTCCCCGCCCGGCTCTTCAGTTCATGATCGTCTCTGCCCCTGACCCCCCCGCACCCCACTCGCTCTAATTCGCAATTGCCTCTGTTATATAAATATCCTACTCACTTATGCGCATACGTTTTTTATTCGCATTTTCAAAATTGATGCGCATCTTGGCGCGTATATCAATAATTTTTTTATGCGCATATCTAAAAATAGGTGCGCAGAAACACAGCCATTGAAAAAACAACAGAAAGGCAGTGCATTTAGGTGGAAACCTCTGTGTGAACGGCCCCTAAGCAGCTGCCATTAGAAAACCGTTCAAATAAGGCGCCTCTCATCAAAAAAAAAAAAAGCACTGGGTGTGTGAGCAACGCCTGAGCTCAATATCAGGACAGCTAAACTCACCGTCTTTCTCCAGCACAGTGTATGTGGTCTCCATTCCGGCCTGGATGTGGTCGGTCACATGACAGTGCAGTAGCCATGTGCCAGAATACAGCGGACGCATGGTCACCGTCTGAAACGTCCCGGGGACCAAATCAAACACGTCTGCTCTGTGTGTCCCGCTGACCTGCGGGCAAAAAGACAACCGTCATCACACTGATAACACACACATACAGCTGAAGTCTGGATCATTCGCCCTCCTGAATATTTTTTCCCTAATATCTAATCATAATAGTTTGCTCTGTAGACAATCCAGAACTAATATAGCTGAAGGGGGCTACTAATATTGACCTTAAAATGGCTTTAAAACAATTAAAAACTGCTTTTATTCTAGCCCAAATAAAACAAGTAAGACTTTCTCCATAAGAAACAAGATTACAGGAAATACTGTGAAAAATTCCTGAATCTGTTCAGCGCCATTTCAACAGTTCACACTTAGCTCACGATTTATACATAGGTTGTTTGGCGTGCTGTCCCAGGAGAGAGCCCTGAACACAAGGGATCCTCGAGCCCAGGGCTCCCCCCTTTCGCAGGGCGAGGGTTGATTGAGCTCAGGTCGATCTCAAACTCCCCCGCTGCTGAGGCTAAACCGAACTTCCTGAGAGTAAGACATTATAAAAAGGCTTATTTTATCTATAATATAGAGCACATTTGGATGGTGGAGGGAAACCGGGGAACCCCGGGTCCACGCCGACACGGAGAACATGCAAACTCCACACAGAAATACCAGATGGCCCAGCTTGGACCCAACGCCATTGGTATTATTGCTGTGAGGCAACAGTGCTAGTCACTGGGCCACCGTGCCGCCCATTCTGGATAAAGGAGGAAGAAGGGGATGAGGGGGGTTCCTTCCAGATGAAGATAGTTGCAGAAAGGAAATGAGGATATATATAGTGACTTGGGATCCTTTGATCGGAGGATCATGATTAGCTACTCATTAATGATTTTGGCAGCCCTTCTGCTCGCTCTGGATAAACACAGTTCCTACTATCCAAAAAGTGTACTCATCCAGAGCGAGCAGAAGGGCTGCCAAAATCACTCCGGACCCCTCACACCCAGCACACTGCCTCACCTTCTGGTCGACGCTACAGTGCACTGCGCACCAGAACAGCCCCACACAGAAACAGTTTCTTCCCTCAGGCAATCCAGCTCATGAACACTTGACAATAATAATCGTGGAACCAACATCACTACTTGCCACAAACTTTATATACACTTATATAACAACACACTTTACATGCCAATTTGCACATAACAGCTGCACATATAACATGTTTATAGTAATATAGCTCTACATACACTTGTCTATTTGTATATTTGCAGTCACTATTTACTGCCTTTTTTATATATTTATTATCTGTTTATTGTCCTGTCTGTGTAATTCTGGTGTCTGTCACTAAAACAAATTCCTTGTATGTGCGAACATACCTGGCAATAAAGCTCTTTCTGATTCTTATTCTAATGTGGAGCAGCTGGGTCAATCATGAGCACGTGCTCCTCTCGAAATTAGTTTAGAATTAAACATCACCTATAAATGATTGAACTTTTGGGAAAAGGGGTGATGGTTTACCTTATAGTCGAAGCTGTGGCCGTGGAAGTGTGCTGTGTGTATGTCCACCTCATTTCCCAGTCCCATCAGATACCAGTACACTTTATCTCCAACCTTCATGTTCAGGCCTTTCAGGTTGCCGAAGACTAAACCATTGATTCCTGTGACGAACCAAGGAAGAAACTTCAGTAGCCAGTACACATCAGGTCCATCTCAGACAACATTTGACGGTGTCGTGAAGTGAAGTGTTTTTGTATTCGATGTTTGACTTAATCTCAACTGAAACCTGAACTAGGACTCTTTAATCATGTTATATTAATATTCTCTAAATGTTATTGGAACATTCCATTCACATTACAATAATGTATAAAGAGCGTTTTTCCATTAACGTTACATTCATTCATTCATTCATTTTCTTGTCGGCTTAATCCCTTCATCAATCCGGGGTCGCCCCAGTGGAATGAACCGCCAACTTATCCAGCATGTTTATACACAGCGAATGCCCTTCCAGCCGCAACCCATCCCTGGGAAACATCCACACACACACACACACACACTCATACACTACGGACAATTTAGCCTACCCAATTCACCTGAACCGCATGTGTTTGGACTGTGGGGGAAACCGGAGCACCCGGAGGAAACCCACACGAACGCAGGTAGAAAATGCAAACTCCACACAGAAACGCAAACCGAGCCTAGGCTCGAACCAGCGACCTTCTTGCTGTGAGGCGACAACACTACCTACTGCGCCACTACTTCGCTCATTACATTAAACATTATTTTAATAACGTTACATGCTAAAATTCACACAGCTTATCAGGACTGTTACAGATTGTTCTCTGTCGTTAGCTGGGTCACTATATTGCACTATATTGTCCTGCTTAAATCGGTTTATGGAAAGTTCTGGAATTAGAGAACAACTGAAATTCATCAAAAACCATGGAGAAATGAGCTTCGCAACCCAGAGCACATTGAACCCACCATGCATCTTGTTGCTTTCGATGAACTGCTGGTCCTCCGTCAGTGCTTTGGGAGGGTTTTTAACGTGAGTTTTGATGTTCTCCTCCAGATACCAGGATTCATTCTCATCAAAGACCATGAAGAGCAGAGCGAACTCCTCGACCTCCTTCTTCAGCCCCAGTGTACGAGCCAAACTCTTCTTACAGATGACCAGCGGCCCGACCAAGCCACTGTACATGTCCTGCACCAGAGGAAAAATCCACACTGTCACAAAACCAACGACATTCTTCAGCACCTTGGGTTGGTTATTAGTTATTAAAGTGAGAGAGTAAGTATCAAACATGTTGTGTTCTTCCTGAGAATATTTCCATAGTGAAAAAATCTTGATGCTTCTGTGGGTCTCGTCTATCAAATCTGAGCTTTATCTTGTATTCTCTATTGTATTCAGGTCAGGTGATTGGCTAGGCCATTCTACAGCTTGATTTTCTTTCTCTGAAAGCATCTGAGACTCTCCTCGGCTGTGTTTTGGCTCATTGTCTTGCTGAAATGGGTTCATCTTCATCCTCCTGCTAATGTAGATGTTGGACTGAAGCAGCTGAGGAAGGGCAGAGCATTGCTGAAGAACTGCTGAGAGATTTCAGCTGCTGTCTGGGCTTTCCATGCCTCTCTACACCTTCCTTTCTTCATGTGTTCAATACTTTTTCCCTGCATCTTTTTATTACACTGATCCGACTCCATAAGATGCCAACTTGTTTGACTGGTAAGAAGGGTACCTTGATAACGTCTACAGTGGAGTAATACGCTCCAACACTGCACTCCTCCTGCTCCTCGGTCGGTCCAGAGTTCTTCGGCAGGTACCAGGTGTAGGTCTGGGTTTCACCTTGAAGAGAAACACATTCCTTAGGACTTATATGAACTTTGGTTTGTTTAATAAACAGTTAGTCTTGTCCTTTACCTGGACGTGTCAGGGCAACTTGAGGACTGTCAGTTTTGACCCCATGGGCGTGTATGGAGTACGGTCTCCTAGCCATGTTCTTGAACACAATCTTCACTTTTTCACCTACTTTACCATGGATCATGGGTCCTGAAATGAGAAACACCGCGGCTGAGCATATTTTGGAGGTTTGCAAAGGTTGACACCAAACCGTGAGTCAACCATCAATACACAGAATGCTCTGTGGATATCTACCCATTATTCCCAAGTGCTCCATATCGGCGGTCCTCTCCTTGAGTTTGGTGAAGGTTTCGTCTGTGTACTCTTTGTAAAGCACCTTCTTATATTTGGAGCCAATAAATTTTCCTTCTTTCTTGAGGAACTCGTTGCCTGGGCTGAATTGATCAAAACATATTCAGTTTAGATAAAAGCGTACCGAACCGTACCATACCACTCAGTGGAAAGGGGCCATAACTGTCTCAGCTCTAGTTCAGCTATGACCAACCTGAGCCAACTAATAATTCAAGATGGTTATTATTGGACTTCTGGCTAAATAATACTAATCATGTTAATATTCCAAACCAATAAACTTGAAACTTTAAGTCTCAAAGATGGGAAACTGCAAGGGAAAACAAGGTTGCTGTTGGAAGAGGTGTTAGAGAGGGCAGCAGGGGGCGCTCAACCTGGGGTCTGTGTGAGTCTTAATACCGCAGTATAGTGAAGAGGACGCTTTACTGTCAGTGAGTGTCTTTTGGATGAGATGTTAAACCCAGGATCCTGACTCTCTGTGCTCATTAAAAATCCCATGACACTTCTTGTATAGAGTAGGGTTTGAACCCCGGTGTCCTTGCCAAAGATGGACCGATGGTCAAAAATCATCCCCTTCATGATACATCTGAAGTCTCATTCATATCATACACTCTTAACCTAACTAAATGATATTACTAGAGGATTGGTTGAAAATTTGTCCTGCCGTGCAAAGTCAAAATGCAGAAACTGTCTGTTTGGACGAAAATTAGCTTTGGAATATATTTGAGGTATTCAGGACCTCCTTTATCACATGGATTGTATCTTAAGGCAGAAAACAAGAATAAACAAGGCCAATATGAGTCAAATAAAGCAGCCCTAAACTAGAGATCTGCGCGGGACTAAATTTTGAATCCCGCTCCCGCCAGATTTTAGACCGAACCCGACCGCTCCCGCTTATATTAAGCACTTGTTGTCCCGCTGCCCAACCCGCCCCGTTTTCTACCCGCCGCGCCCGATCCCGGGGGGAGAACAAAACCGAAAATCACCCAGCTATACAGTCCAGACAGCCTATAACAAGCTGTCTGTATAAACACGCACACACACACAGCACCAAGCACACACACAGACAAAGCTCGCTCTCTCTCTCTCTCTCTCTCTCTCTCTCTCTCTCAAACACAGCATCGCGCTATTTCATTTACACACATACATACGCGTGCTCGCTCGGGAGTCGTGAGCGATATTGCTAGACAGCCCGCTCCCGTCCCAAATTAAACCCGTTACCGACCGCTCACGCGATTTATTCGGAAATTTATACCCGCGCCGCAGAAACCTGGTCGGGTGCTCAACCGGACCTCTAATGCAGACCTCTACCCTAAACATTAAAACTAAACAGCCCTAGTAGTTTTGGGTTAAGTCAACTAAGGTTGTTTGAGCAACAGGTTTCCATGCAGTGGTCTAGTAAAAACCATTAGGGGTACCTGTTATAGACACTTGCTGTGTCAATGAAGCTAAACATCACTGACGTTCTTCAATATCTCTAACAGGATTTATAATAGTGCTTCAGATAGGATATGTGAGTTCTGGTACAGGAGGTTTGAATACCTTTCTTTCAGACCATTGTGCATTTTGTCCTCCCATGTGCGGGTGGGTGAATAGTCCCAGTCCATCTCAACTGCAGCGATGTAATACTTCTTCTGGTGTAGCATCGTCTCAGACTGACGGTTCCAGAAGCGGCACTTCTCCACGGTGTAGTTGGCCCTCATGCCTCCATGATAATGATCCGTAGTTTTACAGTTGACCTCAAACTGCCCTGTAGACGCCAGATTATCATCAGAGTAGTACGTGCAATGCTTTGACATTCATCTGAGATGCAAGATTTGTCTTGTTTGAAACAATAAATTGAATAAAGTTTAGTGAACCTGTATACTTTTATGAACTGCTTTTTAGGAAGTCAACATTACGCCCCATTCACACAGGGCGTCAGCGTCAACGCTTCCCATTCACATTGAATGGGTGACGTAAGGCGTCGCCGAACTACACTATGGATCCGTCGGCTCTGCTTCAGAGGCGTTCCTTGCTGCATAAGTTGGGACTTGCACATTTTTTCAAGTGCCAACGGAAGCGTCAGCCAATCAGATTGCTGTATGCAAATACACCAGCTTAGACAGTGGCCTATTACTGACTAATTTCGTTGGCTGACGCTGCTATGACGATTGCGTCAGCCCCAACTTCAGACATGCCCTCTGTCAAGCGTTGACGCTGAAGCCCCGTGTGAATGGGCAGTTAGACTCCACCAGATAGATTTGTATGGAGAAAAGTAACTCAAAATAATTTCTTCTGTGTTGAACAGAGGAAAACATGTACCCATGCTGTCGGGCTCCATGATGACGGTGTGAGAGATATGAGGAAACACATTGATGGTGTCCCTACGGGTTTCTTTGTAGAGGAACCTGTTGCCTTCAAAGTAAAGTCCGTGGATGTCTGTCTCAGATCCTAGTCCGGACAGATGCCAAGACACCTTATCACCTTTACACATGTTCAAGCCTTTAAGATTTCCATACATGTATCCATTGAGCGCTGTGAATGAAGAGCACATATTGTTTGAGTAAAAAGGCAGTACATTTGGTTTCTGTACTACAGAAATGTATTATTGAGCAGTGTTTATTCTCACAGTGCATTTTATTGGACTCCTGAAAGTCTGCATCCTCTTTATTCACAGATTTGGGCTGCTTTGCATATCTGTTGATGTTGTCATCCAAATACCAGCTTAGGTTTTCATCGAAAACAGTTGCGAGAAGGTGAAATTCTTTGTCCACGTTTTTCTGGGATTGGATATAAATGTTACGCAATGCTGTTTAGTAATATAGCCAGGGCCATGTGGAGTCTCAGAAATCCCAATGTGCAAAGTGCTATTAACTACCGAATAATATGATCAAAATATTTAACAATTCTGAAAGGCGTCCACTCCTCTCACCTGCTTGCCCGATTTGAGAGTTTTTGGCTTGCAGATCAGAAGAGGTCCAACCAGCCCTGAGTTGGTGTCCCGAATGGGATCCACCGCTGAGTAGTACAAGTAGGTGAGGCAGTCAGGGTCTTTTTCCGTGGGTCCTCCATCTTTTGGGACCACCCACTCATATTTGTAGGTGGTGTCGGGACGAACCATTGCGGCAGGAAGGGGCTCAATCACTCCTGAAGGAGATGGAGATCATACAGTATTGACTTTCCAGCACTTATTGATGATCTTCTTAAGCAATATCAAGAGAGGGACATGATCTTATCCATTAGGAATCGGCATAGGAACTCTATACCAAGACTGAATTCCCCCAATCCCAATTCTACCTCCTAGACCAGGGATGGGCAAACTCGGTCCTGGAGGGCCGGTGTCCTGCACAGTTTGGCTCCAACACTAATCAAACACACCTGAACAAGCTGATCAGTGTCTTTAAGATCACTAGAAATCTACAAGCAGGTGTGTTTGATTAGAGTTGGAACAAAACTCTGCAGGGACACCGGCCCTCGAGGATCAAGTTTGCCCATCCCTGTCCTAGACCCTGAAGAGTTAGGGGGCTCTCAGTTCTTTTTACCAGATTGCTATTCAACAAACTATTATTTGGGAGCACATTGAAAAAGAGGCGTATGTGAAATGTACACAAAGGTCCAACAAATGTAACAAATGGGCAATAATAAGCATTTTTACTATTAAGTCGCATAGAAGTGTTGGTGGTTCACACTCATGCTCTCCTTAGGGGATTATTTCCACACTCTTTCACGCTCGGTTTCAATAGCTTCGTTTCCATCCACCTATTTTGAAGCACATTTTGGAATATTGCATAAGAATCCCTGGATGGAAACACCAAGATGCACACATTTTGAAAATGAGCTAAAACAAAATTATGTGCACGACTTGAATAAACTTTTTATCTGATAATAAAAAATGTGCAGTAGCTACGATGGAAACGTATTTACCGAATAAATTTCAGCATATGCATCAGTAATGTGAAGTGATTTTGCTCCAACAGATCATGTGATAATAAAAGTGGCAGAAGGTATGTTTGGGTGGACGATGAGATGTGCATGTCACTCTGTTAAAATATTACTGAGACCCCTCTCTGAGTCTCTGGGCATCATCGTAGGACACCCGATTAACCTGCCTACTCTGTTTCTCTGTCATCCCACTGTTTCCTTACCATCCCTTTCATCATTACAATAAAGTCTAGCTCAAAGTGTGGCGTAGTCCATGCTGGTAAAATGTTATGTACAAGAAAGAACCAAGATAGCAAAGAATTCCGGCCCAGATTTGGCTTTAATCTGGCGCAGCAGGCATTCATCTGGCACTGGCATACAGCATGTGGGCCAGGCATGGCCCTGGTTTGGCAGAGGTGGCACTGTCTTTAAGGCGGCACACAGTACTTGGGCCAGATGTAAATAGTAGTATTTGACTCAGATGTTAATAATTGATATGGGGACCATGTGAGTTTGGCCTATCTTGACCCACATTTAAAATATATTTTTATTATTTACAAATAAAGAAAAAAAACAAACAATCAGGTCGCTTTAAGAAAAGCACGCCCATGGCACACCTAAAGCGCAGTGATTCATGGGTTTATTAATTGCAGTGGTGACACATCAACATATCTGGCCCAGTTCGGGCTCAGTTATGGGTTATTAACTTGGCTGAAACTTGGCCCAGATATGATCCATGTTTGGCTCTTGTCTGGAAGCCAGACTTGGTCCAGACATGTACCGTTATTCACTGCGGCATGTGGGCCAAGCAAAAGCTGACTGTGTGGGGCAGATCTGGGCCAGAGAAATTTTGCTATGTGGGAAGTGATGACAATCCTTAAAGGAAAACGCCAGCAGATCTTCCAAGAAGTGTGAGCAGAGATGATGTAGCGCCTCCAAAAGCAAGATGGCATGACTCAAAGAATATCCAAGTCTGTCCTCATAATCTGCAGGCAAGCTGAAGTATTTCAAGGCATTTTTTGGCCAACGGCAGGGAAACATCTCGGCAGTAGGGGCTGGTTCATTGTCTTCATAACCTTCAATTAAAATAGTTTGGTCTCCTTAAATAGAACTTTCTTTTTAAGCTGACACTACAAAAATGGTTTCTAGCCATCATTTCTTGCAAATGTTACAAAAACAACTAAAACTAAAACAAAACCAAATATCAACATCATTTGACGTCATTATTGGACACCAAAATAACATTTTGATGTCCAAAATAGACGCTGGTTAGAGATAAAATTTTGATAACCTGATATCCCAACCTAAGTCTAACCTAATATTAACGTCTTATGACGTTGCGCGCCTGCTGGGTTTGAACTGGCAACAATGAGATCAGAACCAGAGACCAGTTCAGTTGATTGAATGTTTCTCTCAGTTTAAGCTGCACTGAAATAAATGAATCATTGGATTTACTAAATTTTTTTTTAAGGTAAAATGTTGGAAACTATTTGTTTGGGGCTGAATTTAAACAAACATATAAAGCTAAACATTTCTATATTGAATTTGTGTGTTTAAATTCAGCCCCGATGAATAGTTTGCACCAATTTAGCAAAAACAATGTGTTTTTCAGTGTGGTCATGCAATCACTAATCCTTTAGATTCCAGATCGATCAGCAAGGGAACTTTTGGACTTTTGGAAATTTTTCAGTGGTTTGCTGGAGTCCAGCCAGGGCTGCAAAATACACTTTGCCCGATGATCACTAACCTTGATTTTAGACAACATATTAGATGAGTTAGACAATCTGAACCCATCAAACTTTCCAGATCTTTCTGTTTATCAGTGAGATTGGTTCTTACTTGGTTGTTTCTTGAGTTCTCGGAGCTTCTTGTCAGTATATGACTCTGCAGAAAAGAAAAGAAGATAATAACACTGTGTCCAAGTCTCTCATAAATTGCATACATTTTTAAAATACAACCCCACATCAGAAAGAGTTGTGATTGTATGGAAAACGCAAATAAAATAGACAGTAGTGATTTCTAAATTTACTTTGACTTGTATTTCATTGCAGACAATACATCAAACATTATTAAATGTGTTTCTCGTGATTTATATTGTTCAACACATTTAAAAAAAGTCTGAGCAGTAAAGCATTTACCACTTTATAATGTTTCCATTCCTTTTCACAACACTTGTGGAATGAAGACTTCAAGTGATGAAGTGTTTCAGGTGTCATTTTGTCTCTGGGCAATAGTACAGGGTCTTCATTGTCGCATTTTACGCCTTAAAATGCGCATCAGATTCTCTATTGGGGACAGGTCGGGACTGCATGCAGGCCAGTCAAAAGATTTTTATTTGCGTTTTACATATTGTCACAACATTTTCTGGATGCAGACCTGGTGCAGTGCAATCTGAGCTGCATGCAATGCTGTTTGATGCATTTACTCAACCCCACTCCTAACTCTACCCTTCACAGTGGCATCGCTAGCTCCATTAAGTGCATTGCATCACTGAGATATGCAGTCTCGGCTTGCATCATCAGGGCTGCATCCAGATACTACTGACTTCCTTTGAAGACTTCAAGTAATGAAGTGTTTCAGGTGTCATTTCGTCTGTGGGGAATAGTACAGGGTTTTCGTTGTCGCATTTTAAGCCTTAAAATGCGCATCAGATTCTCTATTGGTGACAGGTCAGGACTGCATGCAGGCCAGTCAAAGGATTTTTATTTGCGTTTTACATGTTGCTGCAACATTTTCTGGATGCAGACGTGGTGCAGTGCAATCTGAGCTGCATGCAATGCTGTTTGATGCATTTACTGAAGCCCACTCCTAACTCGACCCTTCACAGTGGCGTCGCTAGCTCCATTGAGTGCATTGCATCACTGAGATATGCAGTCTCGGCTTGCATCATCAAGGCTGCATCCAGATACTACTGACTTCCTCTGAAGACACCAAGTGATGAAGTGTTTCAGGTGTCATTTTGTCTCTGGGGAATAGTACAGGGTCTTCGTTGTCGCATTTTACGCCTTAAAATGCGCATCAGATTCTCTATTGGTGACAGGTCAGGACTGCATGCAGGCCAGTCAAAGGATTTTTATTTGCGTTTTACATATTGTCACAACATTTTCTGGATGCAGACCTGGTGCAGTGCAATCTGAGCTGCATGCAATGCTGTTTGATGCATTTACTCAACCCCACTCCTAACTCTACCCTTCACAGTGGTGTCGCTAGCTCCATTAAATGCATTGCATCACTGAGATATGCAGTCTCGGCTTGCATCATCAGGGCTGCATCCAGATACTACTGACTTCCTCTGAAGACACCAAGTGATGAAGTGTTTCAGGTGTCATTTTGTCTCTGGGCAATAGTACAGGGTCTTCATTGTCGCATTTTACGCCTTAAAATGCGCATCAGATTCTCTGTTGGGGACAGGTCGGGACTGCATGCAGGCCAGTCAAAAGATTTTTTTTTGCGTTTTACATGTTGCTGCAACATTTTCTGGATGCAGACGTGGTGCAGTGCAATCTGAGCTGCATGCAATGTTGTTTGAAGCATTTACTGAAGCCCACTCCTAACTTGACCCTTCACAGTGGCGTCGCTAGCTCCATTAAATGCATTGCATCACTGAGATATGCAGTCTCGGCTTGCATCATCAAGGCTGCATCCAGATACTACTGACTTCCTCTGAAGACACCAAGTGATGAAGTGTTTCAGGTGTCATGTTGTCCCGTTCACTATTAAAGTTCTTTCTTTACCTTCCAGAACATTGTGGTAGAGCGTTCCATCCATGTCTATGTTGTACTGCACTCCGTGTGGCTGAATACTGAAGGGTCTGCTTGCTTTGTTTCTAAACGTTACTTTAATCGTGTCCTCTTCCTCGGCTCTAATGACGGGACCTAGAATACAAACCAAAGACTTTCAATAATATTAGTGCAATTAAAAGTCTGAGAGAAATTAAGGACTATGTATTTAACAGTGTTGTTCGGCAATTCTCACATTACTTGCTCATGATGTAGGAGGAACAATAGCTAAGTTTCCATCCACCTATTTTTTTAAGGGGGAATCTCCTCATCCACCACCATGTGCAGCATCCACCTGGATGACACGACAGCAGCCATATTGCACCATTGCATTGGTTGGTGGAGAGGAGACAGAGTCATGAAGCCCATTATGATATGGGGATGGTGGCCATGATGGACAGAGGCCAGACGGCAGATTTGGCCAGGATGCCAGGGTTACACCCCTACTCTATTTTGAAGTACATCCATGGGATTTTTAAAGACCACAGTGTCTCATCTGAAAGACGGCGCTCGCTGAGCAGTATAGAGTCCCCATCAATATACTGGGGCATTAGGACCCATACAAGCCTCTCTAACACCACTTCTGGCAGCAACCTAGCTTTCCCATGTGGTCTCCCATCTAGGTACTAGGCTCTGCTTAGCTTCAGCGGGCGACCACGTGAGAGTTGCAGAGAGCTAGCTGCAACCATTGTAGCTAACATACAGTGACTAATGTTAAAATACATTACCTAGAATTCCCAGGTGCTGCTCTTCCGGCGTCTTCTCTTTGCGTTTGGTGAATGTGTCATCAGTGTATTCCACATACTGAACCTTCTTGTATTTTCCCCCGATCCGGTCATTGCGGTTATCAAAGAAAGTGTCAGACACACTGTGGAAATTCGCACACACAAATTCAAGCACCAAAATGACTTTCCCTTATATTTCACGATTCCTCTCATAAAGGAATGCTGCTTATTATGGAAATCAGCTCATTTCACAGCTCTCCTAGAGTTAAACAGATGAGTTTTACTATTGTTGAATACATTCAACTAGGGCTGGGTGATATGCCTAAAGTGCAATCCTAAACAGTTATTTTCCATATGGAACAATAACAATATATATATATTTGATATCAGTCGTTAATACTTCCAGATTTAAAAGAGAATCCCAACAATGACTGAAGCCATAAGAATGAGAGAGTTCATCAAGTAGCTCAACCAATTTTTGGTGCTACAAATTCGGTACATCTCTGATATCAACACTTCTAGATTCCCATTGCTGCACATTGCTAGTCTTCAGTGTGACTGGCTCTTATGGCCCATTTCCACTAAGTGCACTTCGTACCATACCACTTTTTTGGCACCCTTTCGAAAGGGTACCAAACACGAGAAAGGGTACCTAAAGGCAGAGCTAGACGCGCAGCTGAATGCTATTGGTTTACAGAGATACGTCTTTCGCTTACGCAACAAGCCAGAATTCAAAAACAAAAGAGCCGCCATGTTTAAAATACACAGCCGAGAGATCTTTTACAGCGTAAAAATATATACACATATAATATGGTCGACCAGGGCTCAAACAAACCTTGTCGTTGTCTTGATGAATATATTGATATATTTACTCTGTAAAAGATCTCTCGGCTGTGTATTTTAAACATGGCGGCTCTTTTGTTTTTAATCTGGCTTGTTGCGTAAGAGAATGACGCATCTCTGTAAACCAATCAGCGTTCAGCTGCGCATAGCTCCACCTTTCTGTGTTTGGTAACCTTTAGAAAGTGTGCCAGAAAAGTGGTACAGTACGGTTCGGTACGACTCCTTAGTTAGGCAACCATACTGTGTATTATCTTTGCGCCAGCTTTAGTTGAGGTACGGCAGCAAAGTCCCTTGATTATTACGCCATAATAGCTGCTAGCCATATCAGCAAGAAGATAGTAACTTTTACATTTTTGTCTGTATAAGTGCAGAATGTAAATACCAAAAAGACAAGCTTTAAAATAGGCTTACCCCCCATTCACACGGGGCTTCAGCTTCAACGCTTGACAGAGGGCGTGTCTGAAGTTGGGGCTGACGCAATCGTCATAGCAGCGTCAGCCAATGAAATTCAGTCAGCAGTAGGCCACTGTCTAGCTGGTGTATTTGCATATAGCGATCTGATTGGCTGACGCTTCAATCGGCGCTTGAAAAGCTGAGCTAGTCCCGACTTCTGCAGCAAGCAACGCCTCTGAAGTGGCACCGACGAATCCACAATGCAGTTCGTCAATGCCTGACGTCACCCATTCAAAGTGAATAGGAAGCGTTGACGCTGACGTCCCATGTGAATGGGGCGTTATAGTCTATCCCAGTTCAATGACCTAGGCTAGGCCCAGAGATCGGCTGAATGGATTCAAAACTCAACAGCCTAACTGCAGGTGAGCTGTATTATTTCGAATGTTAATATTCTTACATGTCATCAACGAGTTTCTTCATCGTGTACTGGTTTATCTCTGTCGGCCCATAATCCCAAATGATTTCTTCAGCGGCAATGTAATACTGTCTCACTTCCCCGAATGGTCTGGGTTTATGCACGTTCGGGAAGCACTTCTTAATCTCAAAAAATGCTTGCATGCCGGCTACAAGTAGGGAGAGATGTATTTATTGCAATCATAACAAAGCAGAACATACACTCAGATCTGGCCTGACGGTACCTTCCAGATGATCATTGACTTGACAGCTGAGGAGCCACTGGCCGGGATTGTCCGCCACCATCTCTACATTGACAAAAGTAGCTGGAAAGAGGCTGACGGTGTCGACATGCTGCCGCTTGTCAGTCAGGATCTGTCCGTGGAAGAAAGCTGAATGGATGTCCACCTCGTTCCCCATGCCAAACAGGTGCCAGTGGATCTTATTGCCTATGCACATGCTGAGGTCCGGCAGGTTGCCGTAGACATACCCGTTGATTGCTAAAATACATTCGACAAAGAAGTTGAAACTTGTGCATTCATAAGCTGCCTTTCCACTGCACACGACATTCAGACACAACTGACGGAATAGCAGAATAACCACTATGTTTATTTACCACCGAGGCCGACAATGAAGGAGAAAACTAGTTGGTTTGGCATGCCTATATAACAGTATGCAGTATATTACTCTTGTTTTAATGCTGCGTTCACACCAAACTTGGAATGGGCGTCAAGCGCGAGTGATTTACATGTTAAGTCAAAGCAAACGCGCGAATAGACATCCTGCATCACAATACGCACAAATGGCGCAGCGCGAATGATGCGAATTGCTCGAATGGTGCGGTGCGAATGGCACGGGGCGAATTGAGTGTTTTGCGAGTTTGACGCGCTTAACGAGGGCCGCGTTAACCAATCAGGAGCTTGCTCTTGTGGGGGCGTGATTGTGACGTATCGCCTGTTGTCAACAAGTCATCAAACTGGGCTTGGCCCAGTCAGAAGCACCGCTGAAAGTCTCCGTCATCCAGGTTCAGTTTCTGAAGGAGTTTACAAGCTCACAGGGCTGGATGCACCTCTAAAAGGATGTAGTGGACTCAGACAGGACCCTAAACGTAGCGACGCTGTTTTTCAGTCTTCATAAAGCACATTAACACAGTTATTTTCTTCATAAAATCCATGTTAGCCATTTAGCTATGAAGCTAGAGTCATTGGGCAGACAGAAGCCCTGCCCATCACGCGTCTGTTTTGAAGTGGATTTGACACGCGATTGAAGCGGATTTGACGCTGAATGAAGCGAGTAAACTCAAATGTTTACGCGGCAAATTACACGCGAATAGCGCGATTTATCTGTGCGTTCCGCGTCTGGTCTGAACACAGCATTACTATTCCACTACGAATGCATCTTATGTTAGCGTATCGAGTCGAAATATAGTATCGAGTCAGAGATCAACCAAGATGAAACGTGCATTCAGCAGCCACCAGAGGTCAGTGATTTTATAAATAATAAATGTAAATGTTTTTGCAACAAAAACCCAGTGATCTTCTTCATAAGGTGTGTTATATATATTAAGGGTGTAACAATGCGCGTATTCTAATCGAACCGTTCGGTACGAGACTTTCGGTTCGGTACGCATTACAAACCGAAGAAATCAGGCTAATATCTAAAAGGATAAGAGAGACTAAGTGTACAAAATATTATGTTTTCAGAGCAACAACACTCAACAAGGCATCCCAAATGACGTGACTGCCTTCCCTGCCCACCTCCAAACATTACTCCAGTCAGGCAAACGCCCTAGCTCGCAGTATGGCTATAACGTTAATGTAATCCTCCTATTACCAACAGCGGGTCTGGCGTTTGGGAACACTTTTTGGTAGATTTATAACTGTGGATATGAGACAGGGCTCGAAATTCAGACCGTTTTGGTCACAAATGCGCTCGAAATTTTATCAATGAGATGTCAAAATATATTTAGGAGTGCACAAAACTGATGTCGTGCGACCAGTTTTCACAGCAAAATGTTCACCACGTGCGTAGAATTAGGAGGCATTCATGCATTAAGCATCTTTGCACCTGAAAACACAGAACGCAGCGCTCAGGAATGGTCGACATGTCAACTTGCAGTAAACAAAGCCAGCAATGCTTGCCCCGCCTTCAAGCTCTTTTTATTGGCCCACTGCGCTAGAACTGAACGCGAAAGGATTGGTTAATATCAGCTGTCAATCACTCAGTTCCGATGACAGGGAGCTACAGCAGCGAAAACATAAAGGTCTGGAAACGACAGAATGAAAACAACACTGACAGATTTAGTTTTAGAAACTACCTAAAGTTACAGATAATGACACATCTGATCAGTGATCATGTGGTTAATGTCAGTCCAGCATTTACACTTTTCCAAGAGTGGATAAAAGACTTCCAGTGTTTAAAGTCAGAGACTCTCGGATTCCCACAAATGAGTGATAATCTCCCAGAAATCCCTTCTCACCCCTTCCCACCGCATCTCTTCTCAAGAGCAAAGAGCAACACTGGAACAATTCTAATCCCTGTTTTTGAACAATTGAATAGATACACAGGTGTGAAAGCACTCTTAGAGTCATCTTCATCCTCCTGCTAATGTAGATGTTGGACTGAAGCAGCTGATATTCATTTACACCGAGTGTTGCTAAAGAACTACTGAGACATTTCAGCTGCTGTCTGGGCTTTCCATGCCTCTCTACACCTTCCTTTCTTCATGTGTTTAGTACTTTATCCCCGTGTCATTTCATGTTATTTCACAGATCGTCATTTGTAAACTAATTAGATTTGTTTTTTTTTGCATATATGGATTCCTTTGGTTGTTACCAACATCCGGGAAACATTTCACGTCACCAGCACCTTTAGAGATATGTTTCCTGAGAGAAATGGTGTCGTGTTCAATACTTATTTCCCACTGTGTAACAGTTAAAGTGAGGTATCATGTCATGGCATTGTCGCTGAACTCACAGTGCATTTTATTGCTTTCCTGGAAGGCTTCGTCATCCTTGTTGACTTTGGCAGGCGCTGAGCAGTAGGTCTTGATATTTTCATCAAGGTACCAGCTGAGGTTCTCGTCAGATACCGTAAACATCAGTGTGTACAGATAGTCTCCTGTCTTATCACCATGGACGTCTAGAGAGCCTGAGAATTACACAAAGAAATCTGTCATTAGTTATGGCCTCAGGATCAGGATTTGAAGCTCTAATTTCACACCAGACCTGAAGATCGGCTGAACTGATCCAACCAAAGAAATTAAATACTACGGCATCAATAGTTAGCAGTTTTCTTTAGCATTTTTTATTTTGTGTCCATCAAAATAAAGAAATTCAGACATTTTTGGAACAATTGAAGGGCGAGTAAATGATGACAGAGTTTTCGGTTTTGGCTGAAATGTCCGTTTAAATATTCAGTTTATTTATGCGTCACTTTAAGTATAATCAGAGTTTAGGTGGTCTTGCTTTTTAAACAGTTATGTGTCACTCTTGAAAATGAGTGATGTGTATTAACTGAATATCACTACAAATATGGAGCCAGATTAGTCTCAAAATTAATACATTTTCAAAAATCAAACTTATAAATGCACATTTACAAAATCCAATTTGTAAAATATATACAAACACAATATATTTATGAACTGTGTTTTGAATCTACGAATTGGATTTGTGTATTTACTAATTGGGTTTGCATATTTACGAATTGTGGTCTGAATTACAAATTGGGTTTGTTCATTTATTCATTTTCTTTTCGGCTTAGTTTCTTTTTTAATCCGGGGTCGCTACAGCGGAATGAACCGGCAACTTATCCAGCTTGTGTTTACGCAGCGGATGCTCTTCCAGCCACAACCCATCTCTAGGAAACATCCACACCCACTCATTCACATTTATACACATTGGTCAATTTAGCCTACCCAATTCACCTGTATCACATGTCTTTGGCCTGTGGGGGAAACCGGAGCACCCGAAGGAAACCCACGCGAACGCAGGGAGAACATGCAAACTCCACACAGAAATGCCAACCGACCCAGCCAAGGCTCAAACCAGCGACCTTCTTGCTGTGAGGCAACAGCACTACCTACTGTGCCTATTGGGTTTGTGTATTTACAAATTTGATTTAAATTTACGAATTGGATTTGCACATTTACGAATTAGATTTACATATTTAAGAATTGTGTTTTAAATTACGAATTGGATTTATAATTTAAGAATTACGTTTTGAATTAGAAATTGGATTTGTGTATTTATAAATTGTGTTTTGAATTACAAATTTGACGTGTATTTTTGAATTCTATTTGCATTTTAATAAATTGCGTTTGGGCGACGCAGTGGCGCAGTAGGTAGTGCTGTGGCCTTACAGCAAGAAGCTCGCTGGTTCGAGCCTCGGCTGGCTCAGTTGCCGTTTCTGTGTGGAGTTTGCATGTTCTCCCTGCGTTCGCGTGGGTTTCCTCCAGGTGCTCAGGTTTCCCCCACAGTTTAAAGATATGCGGTACAGGTGCACTGGGTAGGCTAAATTGTCCGTAGCGTATGAGTGTGAATCAGTGTGGATGTGTGGAGATGGGTTGCGGTTGGCGGTTATTCCGATGTGGTGACCCCGGATTAATAAAGGGACTAAGCCAAAAAAGAAAATGAATGAATGAAATTGCGTTTTGAATTTACGAATTAGATTTGTGTATTTATGAATTGGATTTTGAATTTACGAATTGGATTTGCATATTTAAGAATTCTGTTTTGAATTTACAAGCTGAATTTGCATATTCACTAATTGGATTTGTGCATTTACGAATTGTGCTTTGAATGTATTAATTGGATTTGCATTTTTACAATTAGATTTACATATTTAACGATTTAAAGTTTTGAATTACGAATTGGATTTGCTTATTTAAAAATTGTGTTTTGTATTCCCGAACTAGATTTGTATAATTAAGATTTGTGTTTTGAATTTACAAATTGGATTTGTGTATTACGAATTGTCTTGAATTTATGAATTGCATTTGTGTATTTACAAATTTAATTTTGTATATGTGAATTGTGTATGAACTATATTTTGTACATTTCTCAGACTATTCTGGCTCCACACTACACACTACAGAGCGATTCACTCACCCTTTGGCCGATAATGCTTTGTATCTATACATTTGAAAGCAAAGTGCATTTTTTGCCTGTATTTCTAACGTGTCCATACATTTATTTGTACCTTTTTTGCAAACAATGAGGGGTCCGATGAGACCTGAGGCGATGTCTTTGGGGGCGTTTACGTGAGAATGATATATTCTGGTCAGGCAGTTGGTGTCGTCTTTGCCAGGAGCATGAGAAGCTGGTAAAGTCCAGATATAGGTGAAAGTCGTCCCGGGAGCCACTGAATCATCATGTTTCTCCACCTTTTCTGATGAATCAGGATACAGCGCTCCTGCAGAGACAATCCATATTCATTGTTAAAAGAACAGTTCATCCTATTAAAAATAAATGTACTCAGTGTTTGCTAGGGCTGCATTATATTGGAATAAACTGACAGTGAAATATTTTGATATACAGCAGCGTGAAAAAGTCTTTGCCCCCTTACTGACTGTCACAATTTAATGTTTCAAATCATCAAACTAATGTAAATATTGGTGAAAAATAACACAATATGCATTTTTTAAGTGAAGGTTTTTATCATTAATGGAAAACAAAATCCAAAACTATATAGCCCTGTGTGAGAAAATGTTTGCCCTTTCTCTGCATCCCCCAACATAATTTAACTTCTGTTCAATTTCCCTCTCCACACCCAGGCCTGATTATTATCCCACCTGCTTGCAATCAAGGCATCGCTTATATAGGACCTGCCTGACAAAGTGATGTAGACCAAATAACCCTTAAAAGCTAGACATCATGCTGGGATCCAGAATTATTCAAGATCAAATGAGAAAGAAAATTGAGGTCTTCCAGTCTGGAATAGTTTATGAAGCCATTTCTAAACTTTAGGACTTCAGTGACCCTGCTGAAAAATCCAGCTAAAACCAGACTAGACTGGAGCTTTGTCCAGCTTAAACCAGGTTGGTCAAGCTGGTGGTTTAGATGGTTTAAGCTGGTCACTTTCCAGTCTGACAGGCTAAGACCAGGCTGGAAATGGCTGAAAACAAGCCTGGAAATGGCCAAAACCCCTCTAAAACCAGCCTGGTCGACCAGCTAAAACCAGCCAACCAGCCTAGGCTGGTTTAAGCTGGATTTTTCAGCAGGGGAACCACAGCGAAAGCCATTATATATAAAAATTACTGACCAAAATTACCGTATCTGTGTCTGTTACCGTATCTGTGTCTGTTTGTATTTGCGTCTGTTCTTAGCGCAGATTTTGGAATTGTACCCTCATAAATTTACGAGTATGCTCTGTTTTCCTTTACATTTTTATAATTACAGATTTATGAATTTTATTTACGCATGAAATATTTATGACAGTGATTTTATTCCAAATTATTATGCGGTCTCTGTCGCCATCTTGCGGATGGACAACGTCAAGTCTTTGCTCTGCTCAGTATGATAAAGGCTGCTGACGCGCTGTCTCTCAGAATTTATAAATATTTTAAAAAGGCACTATCTTTATAAATAAACTGCATAGTTGCAATTTAAACAACTATATTCTCGGTTAAAAAGCCTCCAGAGTACATTATGTTGACTGTATGTCAAACTGTAGTGAGTTTATTGATCTGCTGTCACTCTGTGTGGCGGAGTAATACAGAAGGGTGAGGAGGCTGTATGAGTGCTGATATTGCAGAATATCGCACGACTATGTAGCCCTTATACAGTCAGAGTTATTCACCCTCCTGTGCATTTTTTTTGGTTGTTGTCTTTTTAAAATATTTCCCAAAAGATATTTAACAGAGCAAATAAATGTTCACAGTATTTCCTATATTTTTTCTTCTGGAGAAAGTCTCATTTATTTTTTTCGGCTAGAAAAAAAAAGCAGTTTTTAATAGTTGTAAAGTCACTTTAAGTTCAATATTATTATTACCCTAATAAGCAATATTAGTTTTGGATTGTCTCCAGAACAAACCACTGTTATACAATGGCTTGCCTAATTGACCTAACTTTACCCTAATTACCCTAGTTAAGCCTTTAAATCTCACTTTAAGCAGTATAGAAGTGTCTTGAAGAATATCCAGTCTATCTACTGTCATCATGACAAAGAAATCAGTTATTAGAAATGAGTCGAATGAATGGATCTCTCCGTCAAACAAATCCAGGAGGGCGAATAACTCTGCCTTCACCCTGTGGATATTAATGCGCCGTTTTTAAGCAAGACACGTGACTTCAGATTTGCAGCTTCACCTTCATTGGTCTTGTTGTAGCTCAGGCCGTGTGCGTGGAGGGAGTAAGCTCTCCTCGCCATGTTTTTCAGGTGCACAATAACCGTGTCGTCCTCCTCCGCAGAGATGAGGGGTCCGAGGTATCCCAGCCATTTGGGTTTGTCTATCTCCTGCCTGTAGGTGGCGTCGGTGTATTGATGGTAAACCGCCTTTTTGTAGACCCGGCCGATCCGCTGCTCTCCCCGCTCCAGAAACACCCGCGCGGCTCTGGGAAACAAAAAGGGATACAGCTGCGGAAACTCACGTCAATATAGCATCATCTTTGCGACACTGCACCAATTATTAATGTTTTTACATTACTGTGAATGATGTTGTTTGGGGTATGGGTTGGGGTAGAGGTTTGATAAAATACAGTTAATGCGTAATTTAATAAATAATATAAATGATTCATTAACTTCCGGGTGCAGCTGTATCACTTCTAGCTCATAGTTAAATAAATACATTTTAATAGGTAATTAAAATATATATGAATATTGCTCGGTATAATTACGGTTTTTATATTACTGTGAGGGTTTGGTTTGGATTAGGGTTGTGGTAGGGTAGACGTTTAATAATTACTATATAACTGCCAGCTGCAGCTGTATCTCTTTTAGTTTCTAATTAATAAAATGCAACTTATTGGGTGATTTTTATGAATAATATGAACTAATGCTCGGCATAATACTGTTTTTACATTGCTGTGAGGGTTAGGGGTTGACGTTTATAAAATACAGTTTAATGGATAGAATTTAATAAATATGGTATATTTACTGTGTTTACATTGCTGTGAGGGTTAGGGGTAGACGTTTATAAAATACAACAATAGGTAGAATTTAATAAATAATATGAATAATGCTCGGTATAATTACTGTGTTTACATTGCTGTGAGGGTGGGGTAGGGGTAGATTATATACAATCATTGATGAGTAGTAGTTATTTTGACTGCAGCTGTATCCCCTCTAACAACAAACACCATCCTCACAGATCAATACCTCACAGACAATCTCAACATTTAGTACATTAATAATGACCACAGTATAAATATTTTGGTTTAAGGACAATGGTAATCTGGATGTTTGTTAGCATACTAGTTTGATGTTTGCTGCTTGCAGAGGTGTTACGAGCATCATTTACTGCTTGTTTAACTATTGGCAAAAATATATAACTACAATAATCAGTTGGGGCGGCACAGTGACTCTGTGGTTAGCACTGTTAACTTAAAATTGTAAAGCGACTTGCTGCGCAGCTTTTCTTTTAACACAAGTACTGTATTGACTCGATTTAAGTTCAGTCAACTCAAAAAAGCTGTGCAGCAAGTTGCCTTACAACTTTAAGTTGAGTCTACTTTTTACAGTAAATGAACCACTTTAATTTTGCAATTAACTTTTTTCCATTGTTTATTGTCAAGTTGCCTTACAGTTTTACATTAGTCAACTTTTTAGATGTTATTTTACAGTAGATGAAATTTATTTCTGCAATCTTATTTTTTCATTATTTATTCATATTTGATGACATTAGTTAATAAAACAAAGTTGTTCAATATAAAAAATAAAAGTTGATTTAATGTCACATTTATTTTATATGGTAATTTTATAAGTAATGAGTTTTAATGTATAAGTAATTATTTTATTACTAGTGTTAACAAATTCGAATAAAATACTGAAAAAAGTAGACAACTGAAAGTTGTAAGGCAACTTTAACTTGAGTCGACTCAACTTAAATCAAGTCAATACAGTACCTGGGTTAAAAGTTGCGTTGACTCAAAAAAGTTGTGCACAACTTTATTTTAGCAATTTTAATTTGATAATTTTTTCCATTATTTATATTTGTTAACATCAATTAATAATGTTGTTCATTACTCTCTATTAAAAAAATAAAAAGTATACTCAATGTAAAATTGTAAGATAACTCAACTTTTAACCCAAATAATGTAACTGACGCAATTTAAGTTAAGTCAACTCATAACAACATTTTTTTAAAGTTGAATCTACTTTTAGTTTTTATAAAGAGTGTTGAACATTCATTCTTTCATTTTCCTCCGCCTTAGTTCCTTTATTTATCAGGGATCACCACAGCGGAATGAACCACTAACTATTCCAGCATATGTTTTACGCAGCATATGCCCTTCCCACTGCAACCCAGTACTGGGAAACACCCATACACACACATACTCATACACTACGGCCAATTTAGTTTATTAATTCCACCTATAGCACATGTATTTGGACTGTGGGGGAAACCAGAGCACCTGGAGGAAACCCAAGTGTGGAGAACATGCAAACTCTACACAGAAATGACAACTGACCCAGCCAGGACTCGAACTAGCGACCTTCTTGCTGTGAGACCAAAGTGCTAACCGCTGATTATTATTAACTAATGTTAACAAATTTAAAAAGAAATTAATTAAATTGACTCAACTACAGTACCTGGGTTTAAAGTTGAGTCAAATCAAGCAAGTTGACTCACGATTTTAAGTTGAGTCTACTATTTTTTTTACAGTGCATGAGTTAATTCTTGCATATGAACACTCCTAACTCATGTGCATTCCTTTCAGAAGTGTTTATACTCACTCATCTTGCTGCACGGTTTTGTTCTGAATCAGGTTTTTACCGCTGGGAGCATAATCCCATTGAATCTCCTTAATGGCAAAGAAATATTCCCTTGTGATTGAGGACGCAATTCCAGCGCAACACAAAACCCCGAGCAGTGCAAACTGAAGCCCCTTCATGTCGGACCACTGGGATTCAGCTATCAAAGTGCGCAGATGTTTCAACACTTTATAAATGATGAAGGGAGACCGCCGTAGGCCAATCAGAACAGATGTGAAGAGGGCAAGTTGACACACACACACACACACACGCAGACTGAGTGGTCCGGCAGTTCTTGAACCCGTGCATTTACTGGCAGTGTGCGACCCAATGAACTCTTGGAAAATCCACTCTGATAATGTCTGATATGCTTTGTTCTGAGAATATTTACATTGAATGGATTAATTATAGAGTAAAGTAAAGAAATGTATAGTGCTTTTTGTAACCCAGAGTTTTGTAAAAGTGAAAAAGTTCAAATTGCTGGTAAGAACAAAAACATCTTGTTTGCATTATGTAGAAATCAATAGGTTGTTTTTTTTATTTGTGTCATGTTGAGTTGAGAAATGTTTGTTTGGGAGGAATCTGGCAACTCAGCAGCTGAAATGTGCTGAAATCAAGTTGCAATGCGTTGGGATCGGGATGGATTATTTAAAGGAGCGGTATGAACATTTTTGACTGCTCTAAAGCATAAAAACAGCATAATATGTTTGTATATATTTAGGAAACATGGTAAGTGAACATAAACAAAGGCTCTTCAATACGTACCGTACATTTTCTGGAGAGTATCAAATACGTCCCAGGAGTTGGGTTTTTTATTTCAGTTTTTGTTTTCATGAATCCCACAAAGGCCACTGTGTACGCCTGCTGTTCCCACGTATATCCACCAGAGGCTGCTGTCAGCTGACTGACTGACCAATCGCCTGACCCACCCTATTCATTCTCTAAACCCAAGCGACAGTGTTTTTAAAAGCACCGATTAACCTGCCCACTCCTTTCCCTTAACCCAGGGATGTCAAACTCAATTCCTGGAGGGCCGCAGCTCTACACAGTTAAGTTCCAACCCTGCTCCAACACACTTACTGGTGGGTTTCAAACAAGCCTGAAGGACTCAATTAGTTTGATCAGGTGTGTTTAATTAGGTTTGGAACTAAACTGTGCAGAGCTGCGGCCCTCCAGGAATTGAGTTTGACATCCCTGCTCTAACCCAACCATTAGTGTTTTCAAAAGAACTAATTGACCCGCCAATCCCCTTCCCTAAACCCAACCGACAATGTTTTCAAAAGCACCGATTAACCAGCCCACTGCCTTCCCTGAACCCAACAATAGTCTTTTTCAAAAGCATCGATTGATCCGGTCACCCCTCTTCCCTAAACCCAACCATTAGTGTTTTCAAAAGCACCAATTGACCAGCCAGTCAGAGTCCGCTGACAAGTCACAGGGCCTCACGTGATAAATATATAAAACCACCCTTAAACCCCCCCCCCCCCCCCCCTTCTTTTGGCACGATCATTAGGCCAACCCCCACTCCCCCCACCCCCAAACAGGTCTTCAACTTCACTGTGCAATCATATTTTCATTCAATCAGGATGTCTCTGTACATTGCTGCATTCATCTTTCCCTCTATCCTGACTAGTCTTCCAGTTCCTGCTGCTGAAACACATCCCCACAGCATGATGCCAACACCACCATGCTTCACTGTAGGGATGCTGTTAGCCTGCTGATGAGCGCTGCCTGCTGTTCTCCAAACGTAACGCCTGGCGTTCACTCCTAACAGTTCAGTTTGAGTCTCATCAGAGCAGAGAGTTTAGTTTCTGATGCTCTGAAAGTCCTCCTTTGGTAAACTCCAGGCGGGGAGTGTCTTCCTTCTGGCCGCTCTACCATACAGATGCCTGATTGGTGGATTGCTGCACAGATGGTTGTCCTTTTGTAAGGTTCTCCTCTCTCCACAGAAGAACGCTGGAGCTCAGACAGGGTGACCATCGGGTTATTGATCACCTCCCTGACTAATGCCCTTCTCCCCCGATCACTCAGGTTAGATGTCCGGCCAGCTCTAGGAAGAGTCCTGTTGGTTAAACATCTTCCACTTACGGATGATGGAGGCCGCTGTGCTCATTGGAGCTTCCAGAGCAGCAGAAATGTTTCTGTAAGCTTCCCCAGCCTTGTGCCTCAACAAAATCCTGTCTCTGAGGTCTACAGACAGTTCCTTTGTCTTCATGCTTGGTTTGTGCTTTGTCATGCACTGTCAACCCTGGGCTCTTATATAGACAGGTGCCTTTTTAGATTATGTCCAATCAGCTGAATTGAGCACAGGTGAACCCCAATGAAGCTGCTTAAACATCTCAAGAATGATCAGTGGAGACAGAACGTACCTGAGCTCCATTTAGAGTTTCACGCCAAAGCCTGTCAATACTGATGTACATCTGACTTCTCAGCTTTTTTTTGTAATAAATCTGCAACAATTTCAAAAACTCTTTGTTCATATTGTCATTATGAGGATTTTTTCCCCACCTACGTCCTTGATAGGCGTGGATTTCCTCTGGTTGCTCCGGTTTCCCCCACAGTCTAAACACATGTGCTACAGGGGAATGGGATGAACTAAATTGGCCATAGTGTATGACTGTGTGTGTGTCTAGAGTGTCTAGGTTGTGACTGGAAGGGCATCCACGGTGTAAAACATATGCTGGAATAGTTGGTGGTTCATTCCGCTGTGGCGCCCCAATATAAATCAGTCTAAGTCAAAGAAAAATGAATGCGTTGAAGTAAAAATGCTGTAATAAACATCTGGCACAAACAAACAAATGGACCCAAAAGCAGACTTCGGCTGTAGTCATGTGTGTTTGTTTTGGAGTCTCGGCGGGAAACACCGTCATCTCACAGCGAGAACAGAACTCACATGGACATACCGAGGGAAATAATGTTTACTCAGGTTGACTTTTGTTTTATTTAGTTAGAAAATCTGAAACTGATCACTGCAAACAATGCTTTTCTAACAGGAGTGTTTGTCTTGTTTCTACTGAATTGGGTAGGCTAAATTGTCAATAGTGCATGAGTGTGTGTTTCCCAGAGATGGGTTGCAGCTGGAAGGGCTTCCACTGCGTAAAAACATGCTGGATAAGCTTGCATGAGTGTGTGTTTCCCAGAGATGGGTTGCGGCTGGAAGGGCATACGCTGCCTAGAAACATGCTGGAGTAGTTGGCGGTTCATTCTGCTGTGTCGACCCCGGATTAATAAAGGGACTAAGCCGACAAGAAAATGAATGAATGAAGTGTTAATTCATTCATTCATTCATTTTCCTTCAGCTTAGTCCCTTATTTATGAGGGGTCGCCACAGTGGAATGAACCACCAACTACTCCAGCATATATTTTACACAGCGGATGCACTTCCAGCAGCAACCTGGTTCTGGGAAACTAAAGTGTTAATTAATACATTAATTGACAAACATGTTATAACAAGTAATTAAGACAGCCATTATTCACTCATGTCGTATCTAAAGTTACACAATGATTAACACATACATTAGTTCATAATGAAGTAAGCTTTAATTTGCATACTAGCACATCATTATTCATGTATTGCTACTGAGTTGTCATTTTAGGGTAAACTAAGCTTTTAAGCATGTAAATAAGGACAACGGGGGCAAATACTTTATCACATCTCTCCACCTAAAGAGTTTTACATTCTTGTGTAGCTTAGAGCTTATGTTGGGCCAGAAATCTGTGCGTCTCTGTTGTATTTACCCAGAGGATTTGGGAAGGTGGTGCAGTGTGACACGGATCTGCAGATTACTGCTGCAACAGGATAATGAGGCTTGTTGTAGAAGCCATGGATTTTTACATCTTGTGCTGCAAAAGACACAATTAAATGAAGAGGGAGTCTGAAATGAAACATTTATTAATTATAGTGCACACGTAAAACATGTTACAGGTGTATATAAAACAATATTCATCATTTATAGGTATTCTTAATATTTAAATACTTTACAAAACAGCTTCCTGTACAAAAAGAATTGAACAGAACTCATACAAAAATACTTTTATATTTGAGCAAAATGCATCACATTGCAGGTCGTGTAGTAATAGAAAGTTTTAGGTAACACTTTAGTTTAGGTCTCCATACTTGTTATGTACTACTTGCATATTACCTGCCTATTATTAAGATACGAACTGATCACTGTGGTCACGCTTGACTTTCCCTCCCACAGACTTCCATTCATACGCATGAGAATGCGTCAGACCGGAAACGAAAGCTTAAGCTTGGTGACCTCTGATCTGCGAAATCGCATCACTTGACTGTTTGAGACCAATCGAGGATCAAAACACGACCTCTCTGGACGGAAATTGAAAACATGGAGCAATCGCTCGCTTTTTTTAAATGTCTAACAATCTTGTTTAATCCGGCCACTTTTCGCGGCGCCGTACGACAGAATTTCGCTCACACAAACTGTAGCGTGACCGCAGCTTCATTCTGTATCTTTAATTCCACCCAAAATCTATTTTACTAACAATTACTTACTATCACCATACATCAATTGTAATTTTGGAGTTCCACAAGGATCAATTCTTGGACCGATTTTGTTTAGTTTATACATTAAAGATCTGCCTACAGTGTGTCCAGAAGTTCAGGTTCAAATGTATGCCGACGACACGGTAGTATATACTCACGCTAAAACCAAAGAACATGCTGCTAAAAAACTTACTGCTGCACTCAAAGAGGTTTCAGATTGGTTATATCGTTCATGTCTTACCCTCAATGTAAGTAAAACTGTGTGAATGTTTTTTTCAATTAAGAAAAATGAGGAGCATATTTTAGTTAATGGAGAAGTAATAAATATTGTTGATCATTTTAAATATTTAGGTATAGTTATTGACTCCAATTTAAATTTTAAAAAACACATTAAGAAGGTTTCCAAAAGTGCTAGAGCAAGCCTGAGGATCTAGAGAAACATTAGGCATCAGTTACCTATGGCTGCTGCTAAACTTTTTATGAATACAACGATTTTACCTCATTTATCTTATTGTGCTACAAGCTGGTCGCATACGAACATTACAACATTAAAACCATTGTATGTTATATATAAACAAACTGTTATAGTTTTAGCTAAAAAGCCAAGGAGCTATCATCATTGTAACTGTATTGCACAACAAAAATTACTAACATTTGACAGTTTAATGTATAAAATATTTCATGGTCTTGCACCACCACCCCTCAAACAATGTGTGATTGTCGGCAAGGACAATATAAGACAGACTAGGTCATCTGTTAGAGGTGATTGTTCAGGTAAACTTAAGAGAACTGCTTTTGGACAATTAGTTTTTTCAGTTAAAGCAGCAGAAAGATGGAATAAAATACCAGTGTATATCAGAGAGAGCAGCACTTTTAATCATTTTAAAGCTGTTCTTAAAATCTGGCTAAAACAAAATCAAATATGCAGCCACTGATTTGACTTCATTTTATTGACAATGATGTGTTGTATTTATTGTACTGTAAGTGTATATTGTATTTGTTATAAGTGTTAAATTTGTTACTTCCTGCCCAGGGACTACAGATGTAAATTAGCTTTATAGCTAACTCTGTCATGTTGTACATTGTCCCTGTATAAATAAATAAAGTAAATAAAAAAATAAATAAAAACAGCTTATCAGTTGTTTATTACGCTAGCAATGCTGGTTAGTAGTTTGTTAACACCGCAAATTGTGACCTAAACTAAAGTGTTACCAATGTTTGTTCTAAACAGAAAGCATGCACTGCAGACCTGAACACAATGAGCGCCTCCTCCACCATGATATAGCAGTGAAGAAAACAGTCGTTATGTTAACTTTCTACAATCAACAGAAGATCGAAGCGGTTGTCCCGCCTCTGAACTCTTCTGATTGGTCAATTGCTGTGGGACTGACAGTAATGTGCCGCACTGTGTGAAAGCTAGCTTCAAATGCCAGCTAAAAAACACTGCGCTCACGTATTCGGCACTTTAAATAATGCAAGACATGAATGCAACAATCAAACACGTCCGTCAAGCATGTGTTTACATTGAAAAACAGCAGAAAAGTAGCTCATCGGAAAGGAAAAATGAGTTCTGTGTGAATCGTCCTGTGTGATTTTACCTGTGATTTGCTCGCCTGAGACAAATTTTAGAAATCCGAAAACATTCTTATAGTTAAAGGCATTATAACAGTCTTGTGAAAAGGGTCCTCAATGCAATAGTGGAATAGCTTTATGATGTTTACGCTCTCGTTTCTATATTGATGGTTTGGAAGCAACGTAGTAAGTAGACACAACATCAGCAGGTCAAAGTCACTAGGAAGTAACTATGGCAACAGACACAAATATTGTGCCGTCTGGACCCAGCGTGTTGTGAAGCGTGGGATAGATTGGCTCAGTGTTTCTCCCGCAGGTCAGCAGTGGTGTTTCTGATTGACTGAAGCAGAGCGGTGGTCTCTCCTCAAGCGTTTAGGCTGTACTCCTGTTTGTAGCAGCACGGTCGGCACACTGCATTAACCAGTCCGCTGATGAACTGCAGGAAACAGATGAGGAACTCCAGGGTGCTGAGGCCCAACAGGATGGACAGCAGCGTCACGTTCCACTCCACGATGTGGTTCGGCTGAATGCATTCAGACCATCGCTCTCGGGCAAACAGATACCTGGACAAACAAAAGGAATTGAGTTGAAACAGAGCTCAGGGGTTTTAGTTTATTACAGAACGTTTCTTATCTTCTTAACTTCTCTGTCTCCTGCTAAAAAAACTGACTATGCTGTTAAGATATGTTTTGATGTTGGTTTTAATACTAGATTTTTCCAATATTGTGCTGGATGTTTCCAATATCAGGCTAGATTTTTCCAATATTGAAAGAATTTTTTCCAATATCATACTTGATTTTTCCAATATTGTGCACTATTTTTCACTATAGAACTAGATTTTTCCAATATTGTGCTCTATTTTTCACAATCGAGCTTGATTTTTCCAGTATTGTGCACTATTTTTCACTATTGAGCTTAATTTTTCCAATATTGTGCTCTATTTTTCACAATCGAGCTTAATTTTTCCAATATTGTGCACTATTTTTCACTATCGAGCTTGATTTTTCCAATATTGTGCTCTATTTTTCACAATCGAGCTTGATTTTTCCAATATTGTGCACTTATTTTTTTTACTACCAAGCTTAATTTTTCCAATATTGTGCACTATTTTTCACTATCGAGCTTAATTTTTCCAATATTGTGCACTATTTTTCACTATCGAGCTTGATTTTTCCAATATTGTGCACTATTTTTCACTATCGAGCTAGATTTTTCCAATATTGTGCACTATTTTTTTACTACCAAGCTTGATTTTTCCAATATTGTGCACTATTTTTCACAATTGAGCTAGATTTTTCCAATATTGTGCTCTATTTTACACTATTGAGCTTAATTTTTCCAATATTGTGCTCTATTTTTCACAATCGAGCAAGATTTTTCCAATATTGTGCTCTATTTTTTTACTACCAAGCTTGATTTTTACAGTATTGTGCACTATTTTTCACTTTCAAGCTTGATTTTTCCAATATTGTGCACTATTTTTCACTATTGAGCTTGATTTTTCCAATATTGTGCTCTATTTTACACTATTGCGCTAGATTTTTCCGATTTTGTGCACTATTTTTCACAATCGAGCAAGATTTTTCCAATATTGTGCTCTATTTTACACTATTGAGCTTAATTTTTCCAATATTGTGCTCTATTTTTCACAATCGAGCAAGATTTTTCCAATATTGTGCACTATTTTTTACAATCGAGCTTGATTTTTACAGTATTGTGCACTATTTTTCACTTTCAAGCTTGATTTTTCCAATATTGTGCACTATTTTTCACTATTGAGCTTGATTTTTCCAATATTGTGCTCTATTTTACACTATTGCGCTAGATTTTTCCGATTTTGTGCACTATTTTTCACTATCGAGCTAGAAATTTCCAATACTGTGCATTATTTTTCACTATTGAACTAGATTTTTCTAATATTGTGCACTATTTTTTTATTTTTCCAATACCCTGCTTAATTTTCCAATATGGTGCTAGATTTTTTGGGCAGGGCTTGCAGTCTTTATGGTGGAGCTATCAGTCTTTAGGGCGGGGCTATCAGTATGCTTACAGTATTTAGGGTGGAGCTATCAGCCTTTAGAGTGGGACAATCAGTCATTTAGAGCAGGGCTATTAAGCCTTTATAGCGGTACTATGTGTCATTTAGAGTGGGGCTTACGGTCTTTAGGGTTGAGCTGGTATCAAAGCTGGTCTTGCTGGTTTCAATACAAATTTTTTGCAATATCGCGATAGATTTTTTTTTTTTTTTACCAATATCATGCTACATTTTTGCAATTTTGTGCTAGATTTTTTTCAATTTCAGGCTAGATTTGTTGATATTTCCAATATCATGCTCCATTTTTCCAATTTCGTGCTAGATTTTTCTAATATTGTGCTAGATTTTTCTAATATTGTGCTAGATTTTTCCAATATTGCGCTATATTTGTTGGTTTTTCCAATATCATGATACAATTTTCTAATTTGTGCTAGATTTTTCCAATATCAGGCTAGATTTTTCCAATGTTCTGCTAGATATTTCTAATATTGTGCTCGATTTTTCCAATATTGTGCAAATTTTTGCTAGATTTGTTGTTTTTTTTCTTCAATTTCATGCTAGATTTTAAGATTTTTTTCAATTTTTTTTCCAATATAGTGATTAGTTTTTCCAGTATTGGGCATTATTTTTCCAATATCATGGTAGATTTTTACATATTTATCATATCCTACTAGATTTTTCCAATATTGTGCTAGATTTTTATATTGTAACCTATATTGAGTTGGATATTTTTATTTTTCCAATATCCTGCTATATTCTTTCAATATTATGCTAGGTTTGTTGTTTTATTAAGATTGTGCTAGATTTTTAGATTTTTCCATTATCGTGTGCTATTTTTTCAATAGCGTGCTACATTTTTCCAACATTGTGCTACAGTTTTTAATTTTTATTTCCTCTACAGCCCCTCACAGCCTCTGTTCGTATTGAAACTGAGATCAGTGTGTTGTTTCACATGGCAGGTTTTTATATCCTTCATGAATTTCTGTAAATAAACCACACAGAGTTGACTTAGTAAAGCGTACAGTCATGGATTGTTTTAATCATTGCATCTTGAATGTCAATTGTGTTTATATAATACACCCATGCTATCTGTAGTTAAGATATGATAGCCAACTTATAGTTTTTATATTGATAATATTAACAAGTCTAGTCCTTTCTGTAATTCAGCGCCGAGGACTTTTGACATATGAAGTCACCATCACTACAGGAAATAGCTCTTACCGTCCCTCATCTTGCTCGAAAGGATACAACCATCCCAGTCTAGTGAAGCAGAACGGGCCTCTCAGTAGCGCCAGACCGGAGATCAGGAAGCAGTATCCAGATCCGGCTAATCCTATCAGAGCTGCTATCACAGAGCCACACATCTACACACACACACACACACACACACACACACATGCTGAGTGAATGTGTCAATAAAGAATATGTACAATAATGGATGTAGAATATGTAGCATATCCCAACACTCACCGCACAGCTCTCTGTCCCACAGGAATACACACACTTCCCCATTCCCAGGAACACACAGGCTGGAATCAGCATCTGGAGATTTCAATAGAGCGCAACCTGAGTAATTGCATTTAACCCTAAATTAATAACAGCTCCACTCAAAAGTCTTAAAGACTGATTAGTCTCGCTGCAAAGACTGATGATATCTCCATCCTAAATGACTTATAGTCTCAACCTAAAGACCGATAGCTCCGCCCTAAATGACTGATAATCTCGTTCTAAAGACTGATAGCTCCAATTTAAAGACTGATAGCCCGGCTCTAAAGACTGATAGACTGATAGCTCCACCCTAAATACTGTAAACCCCACCCTAAATACTGATAGCTCCACCCTAAAACGGATAGCCTCACCCTAAATGACTGATAATCCTGCTCTAAAGACTGATAGGCAGATAACTCCACCCTAAAGACTGATAGCTCCGCCCCTTAGGGATTGATAGTCCTACTTTAAAGACCAATAGCTCCACCCTAAAGACTAATAGCCCTGCCTTAAATGACTGATAGTCCTGCTCTAAAGACTGATAGACCGATAGCTCCACCCTAAAGACTGATAGCTCCACCCTAAATGACTGATAGTCCTGCTCTAAAGACTGATAGACCGATAGCTCCACCCTAAAGACTGATAGCTCCACCCTAAATGACTGATAGTCCTGCTCTAAAGACTGATAGACCGATAGCTCCACCCTAAAGACTGATAGCTCCACCCTAAATGACTGATAGTCCTGCTCTAAAGACTGATAGACCGATAGCTCCACCCTAAAGACTGATAGCTCCACCCTAAAGACTAATAGCCCTGCCTTCAATGACTGATAGTCCTGCTCTAAAGACTGATAGACCGATAGCTCCACCCTAAAGACTGATAGCTCCACCCTAAATGACTGATAGTCCTGCTCTAAAGACTGATAGACCGATAGCTCCACCCTAAAGACTGATAGCTCCACCCTAAATGACTGATAGTCCTGCTCTAAAGACTGATAGACCGATAGCTCCACCCTAAAGACTGATAGCTCCACCCTAAATGACTGATAGTCCTGCTCTAAAGACTGATAGACCGATAGCTCCACCCTAAAGACTGATAGCTCCACCCTAAATGACTAATAGTCCTGCTCTAAAGACTAATAAACCAATAGCTCCACCCTAAAGACTGATAGCTCCACCCTAAATGACTGATAGTCCTACTCTAAAGACTAATTAACCGATAGCTCCACCCTAAAGACTGATAGCTCCACCCTTAATGACTAATAGTCCTCCTCTAAAGACTGATAGCTCCTCCCTAAATGACTGATAGTCCTACTCTAAAGACTATTAAACCGATAGCTCCACCCTAAAGACTGATAGCTCCACCCTAAATACCGATAGCCCCACCCTAAATGACTGATAGTTCTGCCATAAAGATTAATAGCCCTGCTTTAAAGACTGAAAGCTCCGCCCAGAAAACAAATAGCCCTGCTCTAAATGACTGATAGCTCCGCCCTAAAGACTGTTAGCTCCACCCAAAAGACTGTTAGCCCCACCCTAAATTATTGATAGCCCTGCCTTAAAGACATATAGTCATGCTCTAAAGACTGATAACTCCACCCTAAATGACTGATAGTCTTGCTCTTAATGACCAATAGTCCCGCTCTAAAGACTGGTAGCTCTACCCTGAAGACTGATGGCTCTGTTGTAAATGACTGATAGTCCTGCTATAAAGACTTATAATCGCAGCAAACTGTTTGGAAGCATTAAAAGTGTCCAAGATGTCCAAAATCTTTACACACACTGACCCAGAGACTGTTTAGATGATGTCACTGATGAGAAGATGGCGGATGTTTACTGTATGATGACCGAAATGGCCTTAAACACCCAGCAGGCACAAGACATCAAAATGACGTCAGATTGACGGTGTACCCCTATGCCATGGGGATGCCGCATTTTGTTCGATAATGAAAATCAGGCTGATGGCAAAGTTTTGGAAGTTTTGGTGAGTCTGTGTGAATTGTAGCCTCAGTTTCCTGTTCTTAGCTGACAGGAGCGGCACCCGGTGTGCTCTTCTGCTGCTGTAGCCCATCCGCCTCAAGGTTGGCCGTGTTGTGTGTTCAGAGATGCTCTTCTGCAGAGCTCGGTTGTAACGAGTGCTTATTTGAGTTACTGTCGCCTTTCTATCAGCTGGAACCAGTCTGGCCATTCTCCTCTGACCTCTGGCCTCATCAACAAGGCATTTGCGCCCACAGAACTGCCATTCACTGGATATTTCCTCTTTGTCAGAGCATTCTCTGTAAACCCTAGAGATGGTTGTGTGTGAAAATCTCAGTAGATCAGCAGTTTCTGAAATACTCAGAGCAGCCCGTCTGGCAGCAACAACCATGCCACGTTCAAAGTCACTTAAATCCCCTTTCTTCCCCATTCTGATGCTCACTCTGAACTGCAGCAGATCCTCCTGACCATGTCTACATGCCTAAATGCATTGAGCTGCTGCCATGTGATTGGCTGATTAGAAATTTGCATTAACGAGCAGGTGTACCTAATAAAGTGAGAGTATGTCATTAAATAATAAGAGGAGTATAGATAAAAGGGTTACTCCATAATACAATAGCAATAAATATCTATATTTGTTACATTAACAAGTGTCTACATGGCTACAATAAAAATCTGCATGTTTATCTGCAACCTCACTCATTTATATATATATATATATACAAGAGTAAATTCACGGTCCCAGAATTCTTTGAATGATACCTAATTTTTTTGCTGAAAAAACTACTTTTTTTTTTTTTTACATCGATTTTAGTATTTTATTTATCAACCGTAGTGAACATTACAGATTTATGTTACTTCTAATGTTGATATATAATATTTATTTCTGTTGGTCTGTTGGTAAAGGTCAAAGATTTCAACAGCAAATCTGGAGTCATTTTCTCAAATGTATACAGTTGAAGTCAGAATTATTCACCCCCTTTTGATTTTTGTTTTCCTTTTTAAATTTTTCCAAAATGATGTTGAACAGATTCAGGAAGTTTTCACAGTATGTCTGATAATATTTTTTCGTCTGGAGAAAGTCTTATTTGTTTTATTTCAGTTAGAATGAAAGCAGTTATTAATTTTTTAAACACCATTTTAAGGGCAATATTATTAGCTCCTTTAAGCTATATTTGTCCGATAGTCTACACAGAACAAAACATCGCTATACAATGACTTGCCTAATTACCCTAACCTGCCTAATGACCCTAATTAAGCCTGTAAATGTCACTTTAAGCTGTATAGAAGTGTCTTGAAGAATATCTAGTCTAATATTATTTACTGTCATCATGACAAAGAGGAAATAAATCAGTTATTAGAGATGAGTTATTAACACCATTATGATTAGAAATGTGTTGAAGAAATCTGCTCTCCGTTAGGCAGAAATTGGGGAAAAGAATAAGACTTCAACTGTATATCTATTTACGCCTCTGTGTGCATTCTGTCAAAGTCCTTCTAGCCGTTATTAATAATATATGCAGTGCAAATAGATGAGACTTACTGAACTGATCAGCGGGGAAGTCATCAAACCAAAACCAAAAAAAATTAAATAAAAATACTGGGTGTATTGGTATGTCATATCCTAATCTCCCTTTTAAAGACATTCCCAAAATATGTGAGCATACAGTAGTCCCACACTTCTCCGCAATCTCTCCAGCATTGTGATTAATGTATAGAGCTATTGAATTTGGCGACCGCTAATAGATCTCGGATGAACCTCATCTCCATCTTCCAGTTGAATTCCTTCCAGATTTGACTGCTTATACTCTTATGACAATTTGTGCATATTTGTTCTCACATTTCATCCTTTATTATAGTGTTTAACTCTAATTCCCAATTTCTTTTAATATAATAAGAGTGGTCATATTTATCCTGCATTCATTTTCTATATAAATAGCCTAGAGGATTTTTAATAGGCAGACCGAGTTCAGTATTATGGTTGTTGCTAGATGGGATATGGTAAGTTAACAAGAATTATTTATGTTATCTATTAAATTACCTGATAAATTATATTTTTTAATGCCTACCCTAACACCAACCTTAAAACCCAATCGTTAAAGTACTGTAAAAATATTAATTATTGTTATAGAGTATCATCAAAAACGCTGCTCTATTAATGTGCATATCACACTCCTGACCGGCCACGTATCCGATAGACTTTACTCAATAATATCAATAAACTACTTCTCTATATTTGTTGGAGATCTTTTAATAGTGCAGTTCTTTTCGCATGAGCAGACTGCATTAATCCAACCAAACACTACACTCCACATATCCACACTGTAAAACATGCTGCGTTCAATTTGCATCGAGACAACATGAAGAAATTAAACCTTGTTAGTTTTTAGAAATTAAAGTGGACTGAAGATAAAACAATTGAGCTGTTTATTAGGAATCTAGAACTGTGTTGTTGTTGCTCATATTAAATAAGAAGCTTGAAGAATTAATTATTTGAGTGCACAAATATCTTCTACTCACAGCCAGACCACCACCTCCGATACCCATGAAGAACCAGACATATTGGGTCACGTGCTGCTCCTGAACGTAGTTCAGCTGTCCATCAGGAAAAAACAGCAGGACGTTTGCTACAATGCAGCAGGTGGCGAGAGGGACCAGGGCGAAACCCAGAGACCTGGCAAATCCTGTAGAGCACATCTCCACACTGTAATCCGGGACGGGGCACTGGGCTGCTGGACGGAGCGCTGGAGGGTTTTAAGAGACGGAGCCCCTTCCTTGGCCCCCCATGAGCCGCTGTTTCTCAGAAGGAGGAGACAGGAAACCGGCTGACATTATTATTATTATTATTACTCTACAGCATGACTGGAAACTCTCTGAGGGGACAGTGTGTGGGGGAGAAAACAGGATGTTTTTTTTTCTCAAATCTCCAAGATTTCTTGTTAAAAAGGCATCTCGGTTTTGTCTCTAAATGCAATGCTTGGCATAAATGAGCATACCTTTCGAAAACAATTTTATCCTTTTCTCAGTGCGTTTAATCAATAACTTTGTGGTGCATTTCAACAACAAAAAAGTTATTTTAAATAGTTAAAGTCATTAAAATAAGAGTTTGATCATCGAACAGGACTAAATTCAGGAATAAAAAGATAAGACACTCAAGCAGTTTTATTAAAGTTATATTTGTTCAAATGAGTTCATCATTAGAACGTCATTAGAAACAGAAAGATAAGACCTTTAAAGGGAACCTATGAATCAAAATCCACTTTTGTAAGCTGACAGGACGGTGTGTTATATAGTGTCCACAGTCATATCGGTGTGATATGAACACGAGTATCTTTTTGAAAATTTCCTGAAGTTAAAATAAGATGCAAGAGATTTTAAAGCTGACTTCAATGTGACGTAGGCTCATTGTAGAAACATACCCCTGTAAACATTTCTGCCAAATACATCCCAGGAGCTACGTTTTTGCAGTTTTTGTTTTCGCGGGTCCACCAGAGGCTGCTGTGTACGCCTTTTCAGATCTCAAATTTCTCTCTTCAGTGCCATTCGTGCCTGCTGTTCTCGTGTAAATACACCAGAGGCTGCTGTCAACTGACTGACTGACCGACTGATCCCACTCAACCACCCTGTGGTCTAAACCTAACCAATAGTGTATTAAAAAAAAGCACCGATTAACCCCAATAACCCCTTCCCTGAACCCAACCAATAGTGCTTTGCCGCATTCTTGCTCGTTACGAACTCTTTATTTTTTGGATTCTGTTTTTTGTCTTACCTGATTTCTGGAACCGCTCTTCTCTGGACTCGAAACTGTTCTTGTGTAAACCCACTAGAGGCCGCTGTTGAACGACCGTCTGTCTGACTGGCTGAATGATTGACTGAGCGACCGGCCAATCAGCTGACCCACCTTCCTCCTTCCCTAAACCCAACCAATTTTACCGATTGACCCGCCCGCCTGCTTAACCCTAACCCAGCTAACAATTAAAAAAAGCTGTCCATAAAAAGAAAAGCCCTCGTCTGATTTTTACCACGTTTTCGGTTTTTACCACATTCTCACCCTGTTATGAACTTATTTTTTGGATTGTGTTTTGGTCTTACCTGATTTCTGAAACCACTCTACCCTGGACTCGAACCCGGTTGTGCATCTTAAGTCCGCCAACGTACACAACGAGCTAACTGGACAAACCGGTTGCAGCGGGAAAACCCTCCACACGGAGGTAAGCAGTCAGACGGTATAAGCGCCAAAAAGAACGATGTCATACCGCCCCGTAGTATTCGCTTATAAAAATGAAATGCAGCCATACGAACCTCCGACTACATAATTCACCAGAAACGTCCGCGGGACTACATTGTCAGAATGAGCCTGGTATGCTTCTAACGGGAGACTATAGATGGCATCACATACTGCAGATAACACACACACTAATGAATAAAAAATATATAAATTATATAAAATAAGAAGAAAATGGAGACTTTTCTAAACTTTCCTTACTTTCCCTCTGAAAAAATAAACGTCACATGTTTGAGTTTCAGAAAGTATTTCATAACAGGGCCACCAAACACATTGAAATCAGGAAAAACACCCGGGACAACACTGGTCCCGGCGTGGACTGCGATTCATCTGCTTATTGCACAAATGCACACTTTTTGTTTCATGGTCCAAATTCTTAATTAAGCCAGACAAACATGAAGTAACCGTTGCGCAGTCTCTGTGTGATCCGGGATTAGTGGCCGCAGTAATCAGGCTTTATGAATAAACTGCTTGTTTTGAGGAAGTATCAAACTCCGTTATGTAACTCAGCAGTTCTCCACAGAGGATTCAGACACTCTCGCTGTTGTGTTTGTTGAGCTGTGCTTCAGGGGGTTCGAGAGTAACCTTCAGAAGCATCTATAATGTGACAGAAATAAATGTGATGTGGAACGACCCTGATGAACGTATTGCTCATCTGATTATACTTACAAAAATCCTTAAGCGTTCAGTAATGGTGTGTTATATACAAGTGAAAGCTAAATTATTTGCCTTCCTGTGAAACTTTTATTCTTTTTCAAATAAATCTCAAGTGATGTTTAACAGAGGAAGGACATGTTCACAGGATTTCCTGCATTATTTTTTCCACTGTGAGTCCTTAGGGTACTAATTTGTACCCAAAAACTAGTCATTTACTCAGAACTAGAGTTAACATCCCAATGACATCTGTGGTACACTTAAAAGCATTTCACACATCCATATAATAATAATAATATAATAAGCTCCATTTTTAAATAGCGCCTTCAAAAGTACCATCTCAAGGCACTTTAGAGACATTTAATATGTGCAGCAGTACAAGATACATACAAGGATGAATGCAAGGAGGCTTTCAGCGGTGCTTCAGACTGAGCCGAGCCCAGTTTGATCAACTGTTGTGGGAGTCGGCTGGAGGATTTTCCCCTGGGACACCGACAACAGGCAATACGTCATTTACATTTAGTCTTTTAGCAGACGCTTTTATCCAAAGCGACTTACAAATGAGGACAAGGAAGCAATTTACACAACTATAAGAGCAACAATTAAAGAAAGTAGAGACTAAATAGTTGAGTTTTTAGTCGTTTCTTGAAGACAGCGGGTGACTCTGCCGTTCTGATGCAGTTAGGGAGTTCATTCCACCAATGTGAGAGTTCGTGAAAGTGATTTCTTCCGTCTTTGGGATGGAACCACGAGGCGACGTTCATTCACAGAACGCAAGTTTCTGGAGGGCACATACATCTGCAGAAGTGAGAGCAGATAAGAAGGAGCAAAGCCAGAAGTTGCTTTGTAAGCAAACATCAGAGCTTTGAATTTGATGCGAGCAGCAACTGGCAGCCAGTGCAAACGGATGAGCAGCGGAGTGACATGTGCTCTTTTAGGTTCATTAAAGACCACTCGTTGGATTCATTTACTCTCATAAAAGGTCAGTGAGGAAGAGATGTTGGATATTGTTTCATTAAACGAGGTGTGACTCAAAATACTGATTGAATTACTGATATTTATAGTTTGTAGATCATGCAGCCGGCGCAGTAAAGTGGAAGATGTGTTTGGCGTGATCTGTTGCTATTTTCAGACCAGCGCAACTGAAATTTTCACATTTTGCGATACGTTGTTTAAATAGCAAATCCATTTGCGCTACTTTGTGGACTCGTGGGTGTGCTGGTCTATAAAGGAGGTGTGTTAAGGCACATTGTTGGCGCGTAGCTATTTTGACAAACTGAAATAAACCGCACCATGTTAACAAACTGTAGAGGTTTGATAGAGTTAGCTGGGAGCCCGGCTAGAGGAGAGTTGCAATTGTCCAGTCTGGAGAGAACAAGAGCTTGAACAAGGAGTTGAGCTGCATGTTTAGATAGGAAGGGTCGGACCTTGCTAATGTTGTAGAGTGTGAATCTGCACGATCTGCATATCATAAGCAAGCCCCAACAAGAGAAAGCTCTTGATTGGCTAACGTGACAAAACATTCAACTTCATTCGCACGAATTGCATCATTCGTAACATGTAAATCATTCGTGCTTAGTGCTTCTTCCGCATCTGGTGTGAACGCAGCATTATCATTTGGACCTGCACTGGACTTTAGAGCAGCTTTTAGTAGGTCAATGGTGCGGTTTATTTCAGTTCGTCAAAATAGCAACGTGCCAACAATGTGCCTTAACACACCTCCTTTATAGACCAGCACACCCACGAGTCCACAAAGTAGCGCAAATGGATTTGCTATTTAAACAACGTAGCGCAAAATGTGAAAATTTCAGTTGCGCTGGTCTGAAAATAGCAACAGATCACGCCAAACACATCTTCCGCTTTACTGCGCCGGCTGCATGATCTACAAACTATAAATATCAGTCATTCAATCGCTATTTTGAGTCACACCTCGTTTAATGAAACAATATCCAACATCTCTTCCTCACTGACCTTTTATGAGAGCAAATGAATCCAGCTAATGAGGAAAGAAAACAATGACTAGACCTGAGGAAGTCAAATCACGGCACTTCCGTCGTCAGACTTCCTGAAAAACGTAATGGGTTGACGTTGAGTTAGTCACTTCAACCCTGTTTCCTAAACACACACACACACACACACACACACACACACACACACACACACACACACACACACACACACACACACACACACACACACACACACACACACAAACACACACACACACACACACACTTCTCCTCCACCCCTGAATGAGGGAATTCCAGCCTTCTAACACAATATGAACACACACACACACACACACACAAGTATAAATACATCATCTTTAGATGCACTGCAAATACCTCAGCCATGTGTCACAGCATCACACACCCGGACACTGAACTCTGAAAGAGAAAGAAACGCACTGATAACAGACTCTTATTCAGCTGCTTCAATTCCTCCATTCTTCTCCTCTGCGAGACATTATACAGCTTTTAGTGACTTACTCTGTTGTTCACCAAAGAAAAAGAAAGGAAAGTGAAATTTCAGCCTGATCTTGTGATGTATCATAACTGCTTTGCGTTTAGTCAGTTCACGCATATGAAAATGGAAGATCTTTTTAAAAAGGAGGCGTGGGACTAAACCCGCTCCTAAAGCCGAAAGTCATTGAGGGACGAGCAAATCATGCTGAAATAAATGACTGAGATCATATAAAGTCAATAAGAGTCAGCCACCAAATCAAAAAGTTACGAGTTGCTGTGAGAAATTCATAAGTAACTGTGAAAAGTCGCTGCCTTAAAATGTAAAAAGTGGACGTTT